TCATAGTTGAGGGGTAGATGTAATTATCCAACAAGAGGGTTATTTCGTAAATTGACCATACCTCAGGGGGTGTTTGTAATTTACCCTTTTTTTTTTTGAGATAAAGGTTGGTCACACGAACAAACGGGTCATTCACGGCAAGGGGAGCGTCGACTGAGTACTGAGGGTCAAGCAATAAATAGTCACAGTTTCTTTCTTGTGGTTGTGTGAATGCAGCAGGTCTTCAAATCACGTTTCTTGTTGACTCCCATTGTTGAATCAACCACTGAATAGTGGTTGGGTTCAGAGTTTTTCAGTCCCTTATGGAACCACCAGAATGATTACATGGGGTGTGTTTGGTTTCCTGGAAATTGATTCTTATTTGAATTTCTACCTTTTTCACATTAATCAATTAATTGTAAATTTTCCACAAAATCTTCAAAACTATAGATTTTTTTTTTCTCCCCCTTTATAACAATAGAAAAATACTTTTATTAAAGAAATTTAAATCGGGAATCGACGGAAATCAGAAATTCATTCCAACGTCCAATTCTAAACTTATTGAGTAATAAAAAGGTTATTAGTGAGTCCAATTGAATGATACAATTGGACAAGAGTTGTTATGGCCCATCTTGTATAGTCAAGTTTTATACCTACGGGCCCAATGGGTTTTAGTAGTATCTGGCCCTTTTTGTAAGAAGACTTGGGCCGAATTATACTCTTATTTCTTGAATTACTTTTAGGCTGCGGCTATATGCAAGACTAATTCCACTTGTGCAAGACCAAATTAAAATTTTCAATGTATAAATACTATAATACCCTTATTTATTAAAAAAATAAAAAATTCCAAATATGCAAGACCAAAAATTCAAAAACACAAAAAACCCTATCACAAGACCACAAAACCACAAGACCAACTATCATCTTCTCCATCTTCCAAAACTCACAAGACCTTTCTCCTTCCTCCTTCATTAACCCACAAAACCTAGAAATTCAAAATCATCAAAACTCAACAAATCTTACAAAGATGGCAAGTATGGAGTCAGAAGACATCAAAATAGAAGATTCTACGATGGAAGAATCCAAGAATGTATGCATTTATGGGTTTTTTTTAGCTAGAATATCGATTTTCCAAAAAAAATCCTGCGCAAACGAATTCGACATGTACAGGTCGAATTTTACAGGTACAAATCGACATTTAGATGTCGAATTTGAGGTATAAAATTCGACATTTAGATGTCGATTTTTAGGTATAAAATTCGACATTTGAATTTGTGCTACAAATTCGACATGTCAATGTCGATTTTTACCTATGAAATTCGACGCTTAAGTGTCGATTTGTAGCATAGTTTTTCGACACCTTGGTGTCGATTTTTTTTTTGTACTCATTATTTGTATTTGGTCTTACATGAGAAAAAAAAGCCAATTTAATTTATGGGCATACTTGTCATTCCATCTTAATTAAATAGAATCTTTTGGAATCTTTCTTTAATTTGGTCTTGCACAAGTGGAATGAGTATTGCATATAGCCGCAACCTTACTTTTATTATTATGTCCAAATCAAAACATGGGCCCAATTAGATATAATCTTGTTTAGATTTTAATGACGACATCGTCTTTTTTTGTCAATAGTTAATTTTACGCTTGCTCATTCATTTTACTGTCTAAATAATTTTGCTCAAAACTTAGAAATTATTACAAGAAAAAATGTTTAAATGACAACTGGTATCAACCCGTGAAGGTTGGGTCGTACTATAAACCCGTCCATTCTAAACCCATTGAAAACTCACAAATTTAATTCTTTAAAAATCAAGAAACGTTATTTGAGAGGACGATAGTGAATTTTGCTAGGGCACACGGCCTCTCGAGTTTATAATCTGCGCACACATTTATTAAAATCCAATTGAGAAAGGCCAATCAAACAACGTTAAGTACTACTGATGAAATGGATATTTTCGTTGCGGCCCAAATATCTTCGATTTCTAAAAGCCCTAAAGACGTGTATATGGGCCCACCACTAACAATTTGTTTTAACGCGTGTCCACCACTCGCCTGCTGCCACGTTACGATACATAGAAAACGGTCGCTTTCTTCATTCCCTTCCCCTGCGTTACCAATTGTGGACGCACGTTCTTTTCAACTGCGACGTAACGCCGTCACCCTAAAATCTAAATATCTCTACAAAAAATATTATTCTTTCAAGTCGGTCACCAAACTAATTTTATAGTCAAATAAAATTGCAGATGAAAAAATCTACTAAATTAATCTGAATGAAGAAATGGGTCTCATTTGTTCATGCAATATTTACCAAGTGGTACCAATTTTCAAAACTAAAAAGTTACGCTGTACGACCTAATGCCGTTAAAATCTGACGTCCGTTAAAATCTCGAACCAATCAAATGCAGATTGGGAATTTCTTTTCTCGATCTCTGACATACCTAACCACTAGCCTTGGATACACCGAACCTTAGGTTTTGAAACACCGAGCCTAAACAGCTTTGTTTTTTAAGTAATTGTCCTCTCGCCTTTTTTCTTTTCATATTCAGGCAATAGCGAGAGGAATAATTTAAGATCTCGGAACCAGTGACGGAAATAACTACACCGCGGCCGGCGATTTAGATCGGAGACTGTAAACGATGGCCGATCACGCCGGCGAACACGAGAAACACGAATCCGTCGCTGAATCTGTGATGGATAAGATCACGGAGAAATTCCACGGCAGCGACTCGTCGTCATCTGATTCCGATAACGACATCAAATCATCCGCCTCCGCGGTGAAGGCCAAGATCTACCGCCTGTTCGGCCGTGAAACGCCAGTGCACAAGGTTCTCGGCGGTGGAAAACGTACGGATACTATCTCCTCTACTTTTTTTATTAGCCTTACTATATTTGGATTTTTGGCAATGCAATGTTGCTTCTGTTTTCTGTGTATTTGGATTTGGTGATTACACTAACGCCGAAATGCATAATATTTGAATCACGTTCTGCAGTGAATACTTGAAATATGAGTTTCCATGTTGATCTCAATTGCAGATAAACTTACATGCCCGTAGATTTCCGTATTTTATTTTTTGTGCTCGAATTATTGTTTTAAGCTTGGTGTTATTGCGCCAGGTGTGGAAATATAAGCATGAATTATTGTTTTAAGCTTGCTGTATTGACATGTGATTTTTCATATTATCTGTAGTGTTAAATTGAATCTGAGGCATTTCTATAACCTAGAATTTCATGATTGATGTACTTTAATTTTTGTTGCAGCTGCTGATATTTTCCTATGGAGGGACAAAAAAACCACTGGTTATGTGCTTGGTGTTGCAACCGCAATTTGGGTGCTTTTTGAATTGCTTGAATATCATCTGCTCTCCCTTGTCTGTCATTTCTTGATCCTCGGTCTGGCAATCCTTTTCTTGTGGTCGAATGCTTCCACCTTTATCAGCAAGTATGATTCGTCGTTACATAGTACTTTTCGCCTTTAATGTAATGTGGGTAATATAATATCTCCATGTGTCTTACGGTTTTCTGTTTATGCTAATCAGGTCTCGTCCTAAGTTTCCGGAAGTAATTATCAGTGAGAATGTTGTCGTAAGTGTTGCTTCAGCTCTTACGATAGAATTCAACCGAGCTTTTGCCATACTTCGAGAGGTAGCATCTGGGAAAGATCTGAAGAAGTTCTTGGCGGTATGTTTTGTATCCGAAATCTCGTAGATGTACAAATATATATTGTTCCTATTCATCAATATGGTTTTCTTATTACTCGATAAACAGTCAGCCTAGATGCGTAAAGGTTAATTTGGGAATTACAGAAATTTGTTATTGTTCATCAGATTAATTGCACCTTTTCGTTTTTTAAAGGTGATAGCTGGCCTTTGGGTTCTTTCTGTTCTGGGAAGCTGCTTCAACTTCCTCACTCTGTTTTACACCTGTAAGTACCTTACTGTTTTTTTTTATATTTGAAAAGAACTTTTTATTCATGTTTTTTTTTTTAATTATAAACAATGGAAATCTGCATTTCCTGATTCAGTTTTCCTTGCGTTTCCAGGTTTTGTTTTGTTGCACACAGTACCTGTGCTTTATGAAAAATACGAGGACCAGGTTGATGCATTTGCTGAGAAAGCTGAGCATGAAATCAAGAAACAATACGCCGTGTTTGATGTCAAGGTTTTGAGCAAATTACCTAAAGCAATTCTCAAATACAAGAAGTTTTGAAAACCCCCCATGAGGTGGTGGTGGTGTGCTGGTGTTACTAGGTTCTTGGCTAGCTGTGTTTTTCCTTTTTGTTGTTGTGCCTTAGTTGTCTGAAAGTACCCATGTTTGGTGGCTTGGTTTTGCTACGTCTGGGTTCACTAGGTAAAATGGTTCTCGTATTTTACTTGGGCAGTTTCCGAGTCTGTGTGCTACTACAAATTCTAAATTAATATGCTTCATTGAAAGCTGAATATTTATTCGTATGATTGATGATGGCTCAACCTTCTTCTGGTTTGTTTAGCATACCGGAAACGAATGTTGAAAATTTACTCCATTCAGAAACTGCAATCTTACCGAGGGAAAGTTTATTTTTCATGGTGGATTTGAATCATATTCTATTTCCGTTATTCGGAGAATGTTTAATCGAAGTTCTATTGTCTTGGATGATGTTCTACGATGATTTTGTTACTGAAAACTTAGAACTTTAAACTTTAATTTATGTGATCTGATAGTTGTGGGATTATAGTGGCAAAATAATTACTGCAAGTGATTTTCATTCCCTGGCATCAAAATATTCTTAAAATTATCATTCACCCTTGCACAAAAACAACATTTATCCATGGAAGGGAACTACTATATATCGATATACAAAAAAACAGTCGTAGTGTATCCATTGTTTCGTTTTTATGGTTTTGTCATAGGATTACCCGCTAATTTGTCTAGGAAATGCCCACAGCTTGAGAAAAGAATCATCCTCGATATCACTGTCACTATCTGAAGAAGATTCTTGTACCGGCATCCCTCCAAAAATATAATCAACAATCTGGGCAATGCCATAATAAACAATCAGTTGAGATACACTGAAAAATTCATCGTAAAATTAAGGCACATGACAACCAAATTCGAAACTGGATTTTAGACTAGAGTAGTTTGCGATTTACCTGAGGCGCTGACAAAAGCTTGATTTGGTGTCGGCTGCCATCTTTTAAATCGAGTTTATTACAACACTGGTTGCTACTTATCCAAACAATTGAACGGCATCTATAACAGCATCCCCTGTGAGATTTAAATTTCCTACGACAAGTCTCTGCATTAAAGATAACATCATTACAATGTGCGAAAGATAAGTGTGATATTTCACTGGGAAGTAAAACCATATTGTAAGCTCGGGAAATAAAATTCAGCATAATTATGCTACTCTTATTGGATTCCCATGGACGAACAATCAGCTATATAATCATCGTTTTCTTTAGGGTTAACTATATTCAAAACATTTCTGCTGCAGATAATCTTTCAATTAATCTATTTAATCCCACATTTAGTTTTTTTTCTGATATACCTTTGTAGGATGATTTGAATGCACGTCTCCAGTCAATACCAATCCCGGAATTGTCTTCGTTCTTCGTCACTCGATGATTCTTAACTCCACCGCCCTTTGTGACGACGTCGGAATTGGAAAAGTAAATAACATATAACGATTTCCAGAGATGGTTTTCACAAGCTGCACTATTCCATGACCTGTACGTTGTTAAAAAACCCGAATAAGAAGGCTGTTAGTTAACTTATCAATGCTGAAAAAAAGAAGTGAATAAATATACAAATTACATAGTACCGGCAAACTTCAGAAGCAGAAGCTAGAGACTGAACATCTAAGAAGCTAAATATGTGTACAAGAACATCCTGTGGAGGCAGAGTCAAATCTGAAATCAAAAGGAAAAAAAAAATCAAATACTAATTAATCTGATTTGAAAAATGTATTATAACTAATTAATAATAAATAAAAAAGTAAAAATTAAAAAAAAAAAATAAACGAGACCTTCATCGTGTTGATTTGTCCTGGACTTTCTCTTAGAGGCAACAATGGCGTGTTTGTACTCCTTAACCGCAATCGCTCGTTTTTGCTTCGGCAAAGCGTATTCCGCACTTTGCAGGAGAGAATTAGCAGCCGAGATTGCAGATTGCGTCGGCATCCTTCAAATCGAATAAATAAAAAAAAACAAATTCCATTAATTCGGAAAATTCGTGAAAAATAAAATGGAAACTTACTCGGGGAGGAGGGTGAAGGCGAAAACGGTGTCGTGAAAAAGAAGGGATTGAAGATATTTGGGGAATTGTGAGTATCCATTTTTCAGAAGAAAACTCAATTCCTTACATGCCAATACATATTGGAAGGGTTTGGAGAGGGATTCCTTCACCTTTAGAATTCGGTAGTTCTCGATCGGTTCATCTTTGGTTTCTAAATATTGAGCTCCCATTTGAACAACTGGATATTTTGTCGTCAGATTGAAAGGAAATGCAGAGAGAGGATTTGATGGGTTTCGTATTCGGATCCCAAATAGGCAATGAACACCGCCCTGTTTAGTTAACCGGTTCGACCCGCCCAAAATTTACCGCCCCGCCATATATTATTATAATATATATTTATGAATTTGTATATTTTTTATTTTATTAAATAAATATATCAAATCTTAGATGTTATAATATTTTGATAAATAATTCATTTTAAAAAATAAAATTAATTTTATAGTGTTGTAAATTATATGGAAAAATAACCTTCATATTCCAACTATACCCATTATCCCCGTATATTGTACTGGTTGTAACTTGTAACTCCCGTATAACTCGTAGTTTTACACCTATATAACCACAAAATTATTTTTCCACGGATTTTGTTCATTTGCATTATATATATGTTTCACTTTACATCGTTGTTTATATCAGTGTGTTGCACAATCGTCATTTTACAACAGGCAAGTAAAAAAATTTAGATATCTATTTTTGATTTATTTTTTCTCATAATGCACATTTGAATACAATTTTAATAATAATCTAGGAAATTAATGATTTACAATATTAACTGGTTCATGGAGCATACATTGAACAGAAACAGAGTAATTTTCATTGGATATTCATATTACAGGCACAACACAACAAATTTTCTTATATAAACATATTTAACATAGCTATCTATGCCCTATAATACATCATCCCATCTCCTCAATTCAATAAATCATTTACAAAAATCACACCAATGTAATAATAAAAATTACGTCCCGTTTTAACCTTTCGAAAACGGCCCAAAGCTGCTTTCGGCGGAGCCTTTGAATATAATGTTCTTCTTTGTTTCTGGTCCAAAACAGCTTTCCGGTTTTCTCAGACATTCGCATATTTCCGAAGACGAAAACAACTGACCATTGATGACTGTCTTTTAAAGGAAGTAAGATAACTGCTGTTTCTTTCTAGAACCTCCTTCTCCGTAAAGTTCGTTCCACTGCTTTAGCTCACCCATAATCGATCCCTCCGAAGCAAAACTGGCAGCAACCTGTAATAAAAAAAAAAAAAAAACCATCCACATATTTCTTTAATAATTTGCAAATATAAAAAAATAAATAAAAAAAACTGACATTTTAGGTATCAATGGTAATACCTGATTCTTTGCCTGTCTTATGTCTTCCATGTTTAAGGGCCTTAAGGAAATTACTTTTTCGTCCTTAGTTTCTTCGACTTCAGCAGAAGAAGCAGCAGCGTCTTTGGAGCTCTCACATTCTTCTTCGTCACTCAGTTTCTTTTGCTAAATAAACCACATGGATATTGGAAAACGTTACACGACTTTATAACCGGAAAAGTCAAAAACGAAAAATACGTAAAAATAATTAATTTACCTTATCCTTCTGTCTCTCTTGCTGTATGAGTTCTCTCACAGGCCTGTAAGCTGCTGTTATGCACAGATTCTGCCGCGAGCAATTAACCGTCACAAAATCAGTACCAGATAACCGAAACTTACATTTGACCAAATATTTCTAAATATAAACAATTCAAACCTTGAGATCGCTTCCGCTATATCCTTCTGTCATTACCGCAATTTCTTTAAAATCGAGGTCCTCTACTTTTTCTTTTGACATCAGCGTTCTCAGAATCATTTCTCTGTTCTCCACTGATGGCAGATCACCCATGATTTTGTTTCAACATAAAAACTAAATATCAGTATTAGATCACATATATGTCGATGTAATATGAAAATCAAGCAAATGCACATGCATCTATATGAATGACCGTATTTTCTCGAACATTTAGTATCCTTGTGTTATACCGAATTGTTAATAAACCCCTTGTGCCATATATATATGCATATATATCTATCTATATATATATATATACCTATATATATATATATATATATATTACCTTCGTTCAAAACGCCTAATAATTGCTTCATCGAGATCAAAAGGTCGATTAGTAGCAGCAAGAACAAGAATCCTCTCTCCGGGTTTAGTTAAAAGTCCATCCCAATGTGTCACAAACTCGTTTTTAATTTTCCTCATTGTTTCTTGTTCACCCACTCTCGTCCGCTGCCCAAGCATACTATCAACTTCATCGACAAATATTATAGTGGGAGAAACTTTTGCCGCGAGTGTGAAAAGAGCTCGAACATTCTTTTCGTCTTCTCCGAACCATTTAGAGGTTATTGTTGACATGGAGACATTTATGAAGCTAGCCCCTGCCTCGTTGGCGATGGCCTTGGCCAGCATTGTTTTACCTGTGCCAGGTGGACCGAAGAGTAGTATGCCTCTGCATGGCTTGAGAAGCCCACCATTGAAGAGATCTGGTCTTCGAAGAGGAAGCATTACAAGCTCTTGTAGTGATTCTTTAATCTCGTCTAATGCACCTATGTCGGAAAATGTCACTCCGATTTCGTTTGCGGGGATGACTTCTGGTCTTATACGCTTTTCGAATTCGTTGTCTGGTGGAACTTCCTGCCATGATTAAGACATTTTTTTTTTATCAGACCGTCGAAAAAAACTTCTATGTATTTTATATTATAGGTGACTGAAAAATTAAAAAAATCCGATTTTGGAACAAACTTTTTCAGTCCAATTTCCGAAATTTCGATTTCCATTTTTTCTGATTTTGTTTGGAACGGAATTGGAAGTAGTTTTTTGACTTCCAAAAAAAATTAGGATTTTTTTTTAGAGTGCTGATATCGATCCAGTCAGTCCGATTTTCACCTCTAGATAAGACACATAATAGTGATAACTAAAGATTTCGACTTGTCAGTCTCTGCAAGCAAGAGATTGGCAAATGCAGGACTTACCACGGGCTTTACGACCAATGCATTCTCGCCATCTGTCTTAGTTGAAGAGTTTGATTTTTCCGCCTCACTCTTATTCTCGGATTTCGGGATTTCAGGCTTCGATTCAGTTTTTGCTCCAGCGTTTTCTTTCACCTCAGCATCCTAATATTGATCCAAGCAAGAAAATCAAGCAGAGTCACAATTTGAGAAAGATAATATCTGAAAGACAAACAAACCTTGAAACATTCCGCATTTGTCTCCATCTTGAGGGTATATTTGCCACCACTTCTACCCTCTTGAAATACGCTCAATCCATGCGACAAACTGAACCAAGAATTCAACGAAGTCAACAACACACGAAAAATTCACAATATAAATTTTAAAAACGAAATTATTTCATTATCTACCTCTTAGATGATATAACAAGCTTCCCGTTGCGATATTCCGGATCTTTATTATTCATCAAATGATACGAAATAGCAGAAACCACAATTTCGTCTATGTAGTTACTGAGAAACAAGGAGTCAGCATGACAGATGGACCCCAAGTCATCGCACTCGAGATCGTTCGCTGCAAGAACCTCTGCAATGTGATTCTTATTGTCCTGAAATTGGATCTTTCTAATATCCTCTTCGAGTTGACTTTTCCAGCTGGTCAAACGAGCTTCGTCTTCTGGCGGTCTAATTTCGATGTTGTAAGAAAATAATAGGCTTAGTTTATCATTGACTTCAACAGAATCCTCATCAGTGTCCAATATACGGGAACCGAGGACCAAAACTGAGCCTGTTAGTCTCTTGAGCATTTTATCGAACAGTTTATATAGTCTTGATGATTGGAGAAAAAGTTTCTCAGCATCACGGATGTAGAGAATGATGCCGCTCGTTCGAGAAACTGAAACCAACACCTGAAATAGACACATTTTTTTGTTAATCATGTAATGAGAAATTCATGAGGGCAAATGAAATAATAAAATAAATAAAAAATCCTTATTACCTTATAGAGTGACTGTAAGAAGTCCTTCTCATCAAACGACCAGCTGCAAACGCGTTTGGAGGGAGCTAAAATGGTCACCAAAAAAAACAGTGAGATTATTGCATTGCATAAACATTTCATAAGCTAAAGCTGAAACACACCCTAGAAGTAAGAAAACCTGGATTTGACGATGATGACATGGCACTGATGCTACTGCTCGTGTCTGAAGAGACAGAGGAAGTTCTTCGAGGCCTTAGAGAATTATTGATTCCTTCAGTATTCCTACAAAAGACGGAAAATCGAAGTCATATAAAAAAGTTGGTCTGAATGGGCACATTCTGCAGAAAATTTAGCTACACATACCTTACTGTAGCATCGAGACCGCTTCTTTGCCCGGATAATGTGTCTTCATTAAAATATTTTACGTTAAAATCAGAGGATGTAAAAGGAAACTATAAATGAATAAAATGGAATTCGTAAACGTTAAAACACGAAAATGGAGAAGAAGAAGATACCTCTGTAGTCATCTTTATAAGGAAGAAAAGAACCGAAAAGGCTGGACATTTTTTCGATTGTTGATTCTGAGATAGACCTGTTGAGGGACTACAACAGAGAAAAATAATAAAAATTAAATTAGTAAACTCTCGGATTCAAGCAAATTGGTTTAGTTTGCCTCAGAAGAACATAAAAATGTAGTGGCTATTTGATAAAACTGATTATAACAACTTATAACACATGCAATAATTAGGCAAAATCTCGTCATTCGTTATAATATGCATAAATAGTACTTACAGAGTCTTTCTTGGTGATACCATACTTGCTCTGCATCTGGGAGATTTAAACCAATTTAAAAGACAAAAAAAACAAGAAAATGGTTAAGTACGAGAAGTATAAATATTCAGCACTACAAGATAATAATAACATAAAATTAAATAGAACAACCTTCAGTGAGAAGTCATTTATATCAAGAAGCAGCAGCTTTGCTTCGAAATGATGCGCGAGAGCCTTGGCAAGCATTTGCTGGTATAGTTCTAATAAAAAGCGAAAACATAATAATAATAATAATAATAAGACTATAGCAACGGAAAAAAATGAAGATGAATAATAAAACTTCGATCAGTATGCATACCGGCAGGCCCCGAGAGCAATATAGCCCGACTTGCGGGAGAAAGATTTCGAGTGTGCTTTGATACATCCAAGTGTTTTAGATGAACGTATGCTGCACTTGTTAATAATACACGTGCCCTCTCACTGTAAAAATAAATAAAGAGGGAGATTCCATAACTAAATATTTCTTAAGCTTTATGACATTAGCAACAAACAATTGAAAATAACTAAATCATTCAAAACAAATCTGAAGAAATTGACAAACTATTTATAATTGGCATCGAGAATATTCTGAATCTTCACAAACTATTCAAAACAGCAAAACCGACGATTATTAATTTACTATTAAATGGTTATTTCTAGAGAAATTATACAAAATTAAAAGGCGTTGAGAAAAATAAAATCATAAATTAAACAAAACAAAAGATCCGGCAACTTTGTTCCCCGAAAATTCACCTGAGATAATAAGGGAAATCCTCAAAGGTAACTTTGCTCTCCTTTCCATCGACGAGGAGCCTGAGGAGCTCCAGCTCTATTTGGTCGCCGGAGATGGCATCCGCCGTGGCGTAGGTTGCACCTCCGGTCCATCTCCCGACGGTTGAGCCGGAAACCAAACCGAGACCCACGCCTACCCCTACACCCACGCTCAATGCCGACAAAAGCACGTGCTTTTGCTCCATCACATCATCATCACGTATACACGCACACAACAAATACGGAATTGTTATGTTATGCGTGCATACGCCCCCGCCCCCGCCCCCTACCGACGCACCACCACCAGCGCTGGCAGAGATCTGCAGGGGAAAAATGTGATTATTGTTGATTAATCGATAGATTTATTTATGTATTTGTTTAAACAGGGATGAGATTATTATGGTCGATTATTTTCGTTTGAAGGCAAAAATGGATGACTGGTAATGTAATATGAGAGGAGCAAGTGTGTGGGGTTGGTAGTGGTGGGCGCGCTAGCTATATATAAGCGAGCGGGGGAGCCAGCAATTTATTTCTTGAGAGAGAAAATGGTGGTGAGGAGAGAGAGAGAGAGAGATAAGGAAATTTACTCGTGTTGACCTTTTGACTTTATATTTTACCACAAAGTCCAATAAAGTAGGAGATATTACTTTCAATTTTTCTTTTAAAAAGTAATTGTTTATTTAAAGCTCATAATTAATTGAATCATTTTCGAGTGTCACTGTTCAAACTTGAAAGTGATTGTACAAAATAATGGTAAAATTGTAGTCTACCTATTATTCATGTCCTTGGTTTTTGTTGGTTTGGCAATTCTTCCTTAGAATACCCATTCATTTGTCAGAAGTCAGAACAACACAACAATCCCACCTCTATTGGCTGGCATCTTTTTTTTTTTCATTTATTTACTATTTATCTTTATAACTTATTTCTACAAGAAATTGCAAAATATTTGCATAGCTCTAAAATAGTTAACCTCCACCTCCATCATTTTTCTTCTTTCCTGTATATTCTCCTATTATATACATAATTCGGTCAAACCAATGGGCCCCCAATTTATCTAATAATTGGGTCCACTATACGAAAGTCCAAGCACCTTCAAAATAAGGCTTGTGCCCAACAAAGTAAACTCAATTCACTCAACAACATATAAATAGAGGTTTTTACTCATTTGTTAAAGTACGTTCGATTATTAACAAATATTATAGAGTTTTATTCTCTCGACCATCTCCACGATCTGTACATCTAACTTGAGCGTCGGAGGGGTTTCCACCGGAGCAACCTCCGGCTTAGTTCACGTGTGTTCATTTCGCAGGGACCTCAGGATCATCAAATTGCTAAGCTACTGATCCGTTTTGCTCTCCTAGCTCGTTTTCTACTCTACCTCAGGTGATCTAAGTAATTAGCATCATCACATAGAATAAACTAATTTTAGTTTATTATTTTTATATTTGAAAATATATATCTATTATTAAATTAAATTTATTAAGCAATAAATAATCGAAATTATATAAAAACATTATATATATATATATATATATATATATATATATATATATATATATATATAATGTTTAAAAATAAATAAATAGTAGCCCATGTTAAAAAGTGGGCCCTATGATTGGAAGCCGAATGTGGGCTTTCACATTTAGCTCGATTTGCACTATCTAACATTCATTTTTAACCAACCCCTCGAGTTAGCCCAATCTACTATGGTGAAGCACATAGTTATTAGGGGTAATATGCTTGGAGCCCCTCAACACAAACTTAAATTGAAATGAATGACAGTCTCAAATAAAATATTTTAACTAAATCATTAATTCAAAAAAAATTTTACTCGCATCCTTTTATTTTTGTTTAACCCAAAAATACCCTTAATATAAGTAATAAAATATTAGGGTTATCTCTCATTCCTCTCATTCTCGTCTCACGCTTTTCTTTTTTATTCGCCACACCTAACTTTTTCTCTCTTTTTTTCAACCGTTCTCTCTCTTCTTCTCTCAAATTATGTCGTCCGATCCAACCCATCCCTTCTCACTCTCTCTTGTAAATCGATGGGGTGCAAACTGAAGATGTCGCCGCCGTCGCCACGGCCGCGATCTGAAGATTTGAGGATCCATTACAAATCCGTCGCGGAGCAGTAAAGGAGGATGAAGGAAACAATGCATAGATCTGAAAATCTCGAGGTTCTTGGAGACCGTGGCAATGGTGCGATGGAAGGGGAGGGTGTAAAAGGGGGCAGCGGATGTGGGTCTATGACGATGGCTATGGTGGTCATGTTTATAAGGGTGATGGTTATGGTGGATGTGGCCTTTGGAGATGGTGGTGTGAGGTTAGATCGATGGTGGGAGGCGATTGCATCAATCTAGGTTTTTTAACGACTCTAGGGTTTTGCTTGATGGCTAGGGTTGGTGAATAATAGTTAGCGGCTGTGATTTGTTTGCTGCTAGGGTTTGCCAATGGGTGGGATTGTGTTTTGATGCTAGGGTTTGGAATACTACGCCGTAGTAAACCATAGTATACCGTAGGTCCATAGTAAACCATAGTACACCGTAGTAAACTATAGTTCACCGTAAACAATATTACATCGCAGTATATCATAACACCAAAGTCTACTATAATATTATTAACAACCGAAAAAAAAAGTAAATTTAATTAAAAAAATGTTTTTTTTTTTGGTAATTTTCTATATTATAAAGAAAAAAAGGATTTTGTTTGTTTTATAATAGTGTAAAAAATGATTAAATGAAGAAAGAGAAAAAAAAAAAAAAAAGGAAAACGTGTTTTTTGTAAAAAAAAATTAAATATTAGATGGAAAAATGAAAATATTACAGGCTAAAAAGATGATAAATACAATTTAAATTTTAATTAATGCATATTTCGAATTTGTGAGTAGGGGCATTTTTGAAATAAATTTTACAAAAGATGTGTAGCAAAGATTTATAGTTAAATTTGTCATTTAGTTTTAATAAGTTTTCTCACTAGGGACCTGTATCTTAAGGCCCTAGTTATTATTTATCTTCAAGATCCAGTTTAATTAATTCAAAATCAACCTCGAAATACAGTTATTACTTATTATTTATCTACTTCAATTGCGTATTAAGAGAAAATTGAAACCTTAAATGGAAAATTAGTTCTGTTAATGATGTTTTAATACAACTTTACGTGGACGGTCCAGAATGGGTCCCACTGCACGTGCTTGCCACTTCTTTAACATAGTGACACTTTACACGTCAGCAGAGGCGGCTCCAGTAAAAGTTTATTTTACATTCTTTTTTGTCTTTCGTTTTTACAAAAAGAAAGTTCATATAGTTCCCCTTTTCGAGTGTCTCAAAACAATTTACAAAAACTATATAAATATTTACATAATAAAATTTATTTAATTTTGTGGTTCGGGTTAAGTCCACTTGAACTGGTCCACGACAGTATATATATATATATATATATGTGAACATACAATAATGTTTATATAATTTGTTGAAAGGCCCACAAGAAAAAGGCCTTTTTATTACATTTTTTTTTTGTATAAAGGAACCCGCAACCAACCATATAGGTGCACTAGGTAAACCTACACTCTCGTATAATAGCTTGCAAACCATACAAGAGATGTAAACCACACTAGGCTAACAATGTGTGACAAGCTCGACCTAGCGACCGTTGGCAAGGGGATTCGAACTTGGGTCAATTGACACAAGCTCTCTTGCTCCAACCGCTAGGCCATCCCTTGAGTACGTTTTTATTACATTTGATAATATTGGTAATGAGTAATAATAAAAGTATAGTTTAATTACAAGGCCATGCCTTTTTGATGGGTGAGTGGGGATCTATGCATTTGCGCCTCTGTCTGCTAGCTAGCATGTGGGTATCTCTTTTTCAAACGCAATTATTTATTTTCCACCATTTTTTTTCTACCTTTTTTTAGCCTTTCTTTTGGTCTTTCCTTCCATCGATTGCAATTGGAAACAACTCAACAAGAAGAAAAGGTTAAAATTAAAGGCCGGGGTGTGACTGAGTTTGCGTGTTTTGGAAGGCTCGAGCTCGACTATTTATACTTGAACTCAAATTCGACATGTTGAAATTTTCTGATTAGAGCTTGAACTCGGAATCGAAAAATACAAGCTCGAGTTCGAGCTTTCATCGAATCAGCTCAACTCGTTTACCGCTCCAAGTTATCTAAAATAAAATATATATTACTATTTTATTTTAACTTACCATGTAACGTGTCTGGCTGGCTCTGCATGCCCCCACGTGTAAAGTTAAAATACTATTAAAATTTATACTACTTTTAAATATTTTTATAAAAATATTTTAGGTGTCGGTCGACGTGTTCACTTATGGGGACAAAACAAAAAAGAATGGAAACCATATTTTTTGTAGTGTGCAAAAAGAATTCAAGGTGATCAATAGTATTATATTTAATTAATAATATAATATACATAACTGTATTTTTCACCGAATAATTATGAAATAAAGTGTATATGTTTGCTTAATTGTGTTTTAATGCACATTAATTTTGACAAATGAATGTGACAAGAGCCATACTAAAAAGTTTGAAAAAGTGGTTCTACTGCAATATCGTAGGATCATGCCTCATGTTCCTTCTAGCCTAATAATCCAAAACAACTAATTTCATTCTCTCTCAATTAAATTAATAATTAAAAACATATAGAAATTCTCATGAGGCATGAATTCATGGTGTTTAGATGCTATAATACCTGATAAAATACACCACGTGATTTTCTACCATTAATCTAAACATTACAACATACACATTTATGTGTAAACGTGCTTAGTTGAATTGTATAAATTTATGGACCCGGTGTATTTTATCGGGTATAACATCTCAGACCGAATTCATGCATTATGTGCATGTTTTCCACATCAGCCTCACTATGATTTGTGGATTACACCAAAATGCCACTTAAATTATTGCCCACTTTCCTGCAAATGTTATTTTTCAATTAAATTTCCCAGTGGACCTGAAATTAAATGCTCAGCAGGAAATTAAAGGAATTAATTTATAATTTCAATATTCATTTTTATTAATTAGGGAGTACCCGGCAGTAAAATAATATTAAAAATTCAACTTTGAATATATATCTTCGATTTTATGAGAGTGAAAAATATAAAAATATATATATATACTAGTCCACAACACAAACATTCACTTTAGAGACAAAATTTTAAAAAGGTAAATCGTATTTATTATAAATTAATACAACATATATAGAACATCCACTAATCATAATTAGTATAATGATATATGTAAGCAATCCAGTAAATTAAGACTGGAGCTGTAAAGTGAAACTTTTGCAAATTAATTAGGCACTAACCTAATTGTTTTATTTTTCTGTTAATTTAATTTCTCAGGGTTCATCATGAGTTTTTCTTTTTCGCTTTAGATCCTCAAGGATATATTTAACACCAACAGATCCTCCACCAACAACATATTTTCATAACAATTTCTCTATACAAAATTTTAATGTTGTCCGAACTTTGACTCCTCAATTATGCAATTTTGATAAGGACTTCTCACTTGTCTCGCTAGTGCACTCATATCATCTTAGTTATGGCTCTTTTTTTTTTTTTTTTTTTTTTTTTTTGTAAATTAAGTTGATTGAAGTGATTTGTTTTTTTTTTTTTAAATCATGCATGAATAATTAGTTAGACACTCACATCATATATGAAGTATTTTGAAATTTAAAATTCTAGTTGATCTTTTATAAATAGGAAAGAATTCAATTTTAGTTTATGTAATTTATTAAAAAAAATTAAAATTTAAGGTATATTTTATAAATATATACATAGGAGGGTACATATATCTTTGGGTTGAGGCCCATGATTCTCTGGCCCAAAATAAGTTCAAATTTATGATTCATTGGGTATTATAACATAACATAGGAAACTAATGGGCTCATACTATAAGGCCATAAGACAGGGAATGGGCTTTTTTTAATCAACAATTTCAAAATCTATTGACTTTCAAGTTTCAACAACTGCCGACAATAATTCTAGCTCAAATATTAATACTAATTACTAAGGCTCAACATTTTTTTTCAGTTATTATATACTAATTAATACTGCTTGTATTATAATATAAGATAAGATACAAATTAGATGAACTCACTATATATAGTTGAAGCTCAATACATATATATATATATATATATATATATATATATATATATATATATATATATATATAAAATTCGAAAAATTAACTCAAACTTTTGTGGAACCAATTCCAATCGTCAGTCTCATGAACCGATTGATAAGCAGAGTCTACTTATTTACACGTAACCATAATTTTTCAGGTGACCAACCAAGCATACATATGCAGACTTTCTACAGTTATTGACAGTACTTTTACGAATATTATATTAATTTTGTACGTACAACGTTTCCCACTAATATATATATATATATATATATAATAAATATATATATCGATCACAAGTCGAAAATCCTAACTTGGTTTCATCAGCAGCCTTTTACAAATGGAACTCCCACTTCATCCTTTTCCTCCATGCAGATATCAGCTGTGTGTCAGAATTTTAGGTATATATTAGGTTTCCTCATTTTATGCAATCCATTTAATTTAATTTAGCCCAACAAATTAAACAAATCTAGCCGTTAATCGATCTCCCACTTTAGACTTTTTCTTCTTCTCCTCCTTCTATAAACAATATCAAGAAAAATAAAATAAAGTGCTTATAACTTAGAGAAGTTTCTTGGGTAGTGGTGGCACAACTGCACATTACTACTTATCATCATTACAGCTCAATATCACTTGTATTTTATTGCTTTTTGCTTCCCTTTTCTTCTAATATATTTTTTGTTTGTTCAGTACAGAAATAAAATAAAATAAAATAATTAATAATATATATATGGATGAAAATGCAAGGAAATTAATGTGCCGCCATAGACCATCCCGCCGCCTCACTGGTGTTGATCATTTTCATCCACTCAACTTAATTAATTTTCAAGCTTTTCTGTCTGTCGGGACTTTTTTTTTATTATTATTATTATTTTTTATGTGTGTGTGTGAACGAATTTTTTTGGCGCTTTTGCATTACAAATTCAATTTTAATATTGATTTTGTGGGTTGATTAATGATTTATGACTGTGACACGAAATATAGAAGGGGGGGTCGAGGGAGCTAGGAATTAGATGCCGTGATACTTTTGTCATTTATTTTCGAACCGCGAAATAAAATATTTTCATTTTATTGATTTTATAAAAAAATTCATGTGTCCGTTGCATCGTATGACATCCCAAAAAATTAATGTGTCCATTTCATGACCTGAAAATTAAATAAAAATAATGTTGTCTCAAAATTTACCTCAAAGATCAGTCACAGACACATTAAACACGAACACTGCATTTTATGATTTGTGTAGCAAATCCAACGTGCATTACAAAATAACGTAAATAAATCTATGAGAACAGTGATTGTTGGGATTGTATATTGTGTTGTTATTCCACAGTGGACTTAAATTTTTCGGGGTTCGGGTCAACACCCCGTAAAAAAATTAGTTTTTTGATTTATTTACAAAACCAGAAAATAAGAAAAGAAAAACCTAAAAAAAATAAAATCTGAGGGGTCATGGCCCCCTTGTCCCTACACGGAGTTCCCCACTTGTGTCACTCAAAGTCAAACCAGGCCATTTGCATACATACATAGAGCAAAAGAAAGACGTGTGACAATTGTACGGCTTACTTTTTGTTACCTAACATTTTTTCTGATATTTTTATTTCTACAAAATAAGCTTTCACCTTTATTTTGTTTTTTGTTGGGTATGTTTGTCATCGGACAATAGTTAAATTAATGGCAGTTGTTTTCCACTTAGATTATCAATCACCTAGTGGACGACTGACGTACGGCTTCCAAGAAAATGGCTTACTCCATCACACTATAAATACGTGCTTCTTGTTTCTCTTATTTATTTGTGTCCCTTACTTCAAACCTTCTTACATCTACTTGTAGAAACTAAACAAATAACAAACAAACATACTCCTGGCAAATAAATACATCGTCCGAGGTACACACTTAACTGTTCTGTTTGTTGTCTTTGTTCTTATTTAAGCTGCATGCAGATTAATTTATTAATTCATACTTGATTCACTAATAAGAAAACTGTATTTTTTTTTTATATATATAGGTGGTAGCTATTGATTTAATTTGGTATGGAGAAGAGCAAAGAAAATCAAGTAATACTCCCATCATTGATCAAAGCTATTACTGCACATAAGGTGGCTACTGATTTCGATAGTGTCCAAACTCATCGTGATTTCACGACCTCTATTCTCGTAAGTTGCATTATTTTCGTATTTAATTTGTTGTTTCGATAAATCGGCTTTTTTTAATTCTAATTTGGTTTGAATTTATCATCAAAGGGAATCGAAGCAGAAACAGTGGAGTACGAGAAACCGATGCATTCGGTTTCCATTAGCATGCCGCCTTCTCCAGTTGAAGCTCATGTACTAAACAATACAAACCGATGTTTCTTCAAAGACGACGAGAAGAAATTCGGGAATCATATTAATAATATTCCTCCCGTTATTAATTCTGCTGCTTCTCATCAGACGACGAAGCAAACTAAATTTCATTCTCAACCAATGCCTAAAAGCTCTGCACTTACTTCCAACATCCTTCCACTAAAGAACCCTAGGATTCATGAGCTTCAAGACAAAAGATTCGACTCCTTCAAAACATGGTCCGGAAAACTCGAGAGGCAAATTTCAAATATCCGCGGTAATAATAAACATCGAGAATCCGAGCAAGACGAATATTCTCACCACGCAGAAATCGAAAATTTACCCGGCGTGCACCGTTACTTCGATGCCTTGGAGGGACCAGAATTAGATACCCTAAGGGTAAGTTTATATATATATATATATATATATATGTATATATTTGAAAATGCAGAAGTATGACATTGAATTTTTATTTATTGCACAGGATTCAGAAGAAATAATTCTCCCAAAAGACAAACAATGGCCGTTCCTTCTTCGTTTCCCGATATCGTCCTTCGGAATATGCTTAGGCGTAAGCAGCCAAGCAATAATGTGGAAAACCCTAACAAACTCTGGATCCACAAACTACCTTAACGTGAGCCCCTACATAAACCTAGTCTTATGGTACACCTCACTCGCACTTTTCATAACCGTCTCCGCAATTTACTCCCTCAAAATAATCTTCTTCTTCGAAGCGGTCCGGCGAGAGTATTACCACCCAATACGTGTCAATTTCTTCTTCGCACCGTGGATCGCGCTTCTCTTCCTAGCAATGGGGGTTCCCAATTCGGTTTCACAAACCCTACACGAATCTCTATGGTATATTCTCATGGCCCCGATCTGCTGCCTCGAGATCAAAATCTACGGGCAGTGGATGTCCGGCGGGCAGAGGAGGCTGTCGAAGGTGGCGAATCCGTCGAATCATCTGGCGGTGGTGGGGAATTTCGTCGGCGCTTTGCTCGGAGCGTCGATGGGGTTGAAGGAAGGGCCGATTTTCTTCTTCGCCGTCGGGTTGGCGCATTACACGGTGCTGTTTGTTACGCTTTACCAGAGGCTTCCGACGAATAAGACTCTGCCGAAGGAGCTCCACCCGGTTTTCTTCCTGTTTGTGGCGGCGCCTAGTGTTGCGTCGATGGCGTGGGCCAGGATTCAGGGCTCCTTTGATTATGGATCCAGGATTGCTTATTTCATCGCCTTGTTCCTTTATTTTTCACTGGTTGGTTTTTACTATGATCCCACCATACTTATTTTTTGGATTAAATAATTGCACTAATTATATATATTAATTCAATTTAAATGTGTTTTTAATTGTTATTTTTTTCTTCTACTTTGTTTCAGGCTGTCCGTGTTAATTTCTTTCGGGGCTTCAGGTAATTTTTTAATTTTAATTTTTACTTTTTACTGGTGGTGAAACGAGCTGGTAATTTCGGAAAAAGAAATCCATTTTCTAAAGTAATAGTTAAATTGCAATTCTGTTCTGATTTTCTTTTTCTACAAAACGGAAATCAGAATTTTGAAAATTGGAACGAAAAAATTTGTTCAAAAATCGAAATTTTCTTACTCAGAATTTTCACTAGTTACTTATAATATAAAATGCTTAACAAAATTGATATTGAAAGTGTGTTTTTCAGATTAAAATTGGATCGGAATACATTATCTACTATATAATCCATAAATCCAATTCCGTTCCCAAAATCAGATATCGGAATGAAAAAAAAACTTTGTTCCAAAATAAAAAGAAAAATATGCGAACGGAAATCGGGTGAATTTCAATTTCCACGCCTACTTGTTACTGATTGTTGGCTCAATTGTTGTGTGCAGATTTTCATTGGCTTGGTGGGCGTACACTTTTCCGATGACCGGTGCTGCCATTGCGACGATCAGATACTCGGATGTGGTCACAAGTCTAGTGACGAAAACTTTGACCGTGGTCCTCTGTACATTAGCTACATTCACAGTTGCCGCATTACTGGTGACTAGTATTATCCACGCGTTTGTGATCAGAGACTTATTCCCGAACGATATCGCCATTGCTATTAGTGAGAGGAGGTCTAAAATCACTAACCGAAAATGGTATCATATGAGATCCGTCAGCTCAGACAGCACTAACATTGAGCAGTATCTCAAGTATTCGGATTCAGACGGCAAATCAGACGTCGAGCATTCTTCGTTTAGCGACAAAGATTTCTCCGCTTCTGTTGCTAAATAAGCTTCGGTGAAGAATTGATGATATTTTAATTTAGCCACTCCCTACGATATCAAGAGAGGAGCAAAGTTGATTTCCAGTGAAGTTGATTTCTGGAGGGCAAAATTGTCATTTTTTTCAAGGTATAAATTTCTGAACACGCCATGTCACGTCTTTAGAATGTATTACTCGGATCTTGACCACTTCTTGGCATTTCAGTTTGGTTAATTAACTAATTTGATTGATGTAATTTATATCATTTTCATTTCATTTTTAATTGTCTATAATAAAATTAAAAATAAATAAATAAATTAGGTATTGAAGTTGGAATATGTTGTCACTTGTCATGGGCTTTGCAATTTTCAGCCACATCTTTCATATCAATGCAATGGTCATTTTAGTGACGCGAAATCCATCCTCACTACTAAAACAAGAGTTTTGGTCCCCCATATCTAGTCATGAGCCCATTGGTTATATCCATCCACCACTTCCTAAATAATATACACATATTCGATTATCTTCGAATTTTATTTAAATAAATTACGAACATGGATAGTCAACGTTCGATTAAGAAATTATGTTGTTTTATAAGTACGAGTTTAAATGAATCGAGTCGAGTTGAACGCATGTTCGAGCTTATTTGAACATTTATCGATCATTTGAAATTATGAGGGAGCTTTCTTTGTTAAACAATGTAGTCGAGTTTGAACGAGCGTCAATTCGAATCGAACTCCAATAAACTGATTTTTTGTATAAAATATATATAAAAAAAAAATTTATTCTAACGGAACTTCATAACTTATCGGACAAAAGTATATGCTCAAATTTGGTTAGTTGTGCCAACAAATCGAGCTCAAATAAAATTTAACGATCTCAAATTTAACAAAAGTATATGAGTTTCAACCTTATTTAGTGTTGTTCGGCCATTATCCAATTTCTATTTTTTCAACGAAAAATGACCCAACATATATCTAGGAAACCATTAATGGTAGCAATGGCCCAACCCACTCTTAGTTTAAAACAAAAATCTAAATTAAATAATGACAAGTGGCCACAATTTGCAGTCTGGGAAATAAATTGACATTAGTAGATGCGTAAAATGCTTTATTACTTGCTAAAATAATTAAATTTCAATAAAATTTAGGGGAAATTGGCTAGACACCCCTTATTCCATACTTATATAGGTAGAGATCCAAGTTGTTAGATGAATATAGGTATAGGTCCTTTAATTCAAAAAATTAATTTAAATTAATTGTATATAGACATAAACACCCTTAATTAATATTTATATGAAAATAATTAATTATAGCAAATAAGGAAACAAATCCCACATATCACTCATTTTCTTATCACTCTCCCCCCCCCATCTCACGTAAATCACTCTCCACTCTTTCTCTTTCTCAATATCTATTTGTTATTACTTATTCTTATAATTTTTATTTGCATTTTCTAATTAATTGTGCTTCATCAAACAAAATAATTTGAACGCATATTTCACGTCACAAAGTCGTAGTATTTACTTGTTACATTTTTTGGTAGGATTTCATACACTTATTTTCATAATTTTTCGACATTATTTTTTATCCACCAAGTTTATATCTTTTGAAGTTATGACAGCAAATTGCAACAATCAAGCGAAAAATACAAAAGAAAGAATAAACAAACTGCAATTTGCAACAAAAAAATAAATAGCATAACAAAGAGAATATGAAAACAAACTAAGTTATGTTTAAAATGTTATTCTACAAATGCCTTTACACAACAATAATACGGAACTAATGATCCTACAATGTTCTCTACGAAAGTCGTCGTTTTTTCAGGGCTTCGTTTGCAGTCTGATTTGCTCTTGTTTTTGCCTTTCGGGAAGACATTGAGGAGTCCTGTAATTTTTCGTCCCTTTTTTTGACGTAATTGTTTGAGCAGGCACAAAAAATCTATCAATAAGATTTTTGATTGCAAAAATAAACATGAAATAGCAAATTACAAACAATAAATGCAATTGTAAACAATAACTTCAAAAGTAACAAGAAATTACAAACAATGAATATCAAACACGAAATTGCAAACAAGAGACTTGTAATTGCAAACAAAAACTGCTAACAAGAATATGCTGGTTCAACTATAAACAAACAGCAAACTTCAAACTGCAAACCAAATGAATAACAATAAATAGCAGACATCGAGAACAACAAAACGGAGACTGTCATAAGAATAACTAATAAACGTAAATATAAATGTTCAATAATGCACAATGTAATGCAAATTTCATACGATACAATACAAATAACGATAACTGTCAACAAGCAACTGCAAAAAAAATTAAAAAATACAAACAACAATATAAAAAGTACGGTTAATAAATGTACAAAATATGTAAATCGAAACCTTTGGAATGTGTGGATAATAAACGAGATTGATACTCATGTATCAGCAAAAAAATTCTTGAGATAAAAAAAAATCTATAACATCTATTATTAAATCATCATTAAAGCATCTAAAAACAAATGAGAGAAATGCAAAAAAGGTAATTACATACCGAGACTTTTACTTTTCTGCATAATATTCATAACATTAATTTGTTGCTTACCGAGACTCGTACGTGTCTAAACCATTATTTGCGGGAGGAGTGAAAATCGCAAATACTAAACAAAGATGGAACGAAAAAATCCCAAAATAGCAAGCGGTGTCTCCAAAATAGCAAACGAAGAACGAGCAAGTAATCACCACATCACAAACAGCAAACGGAATTTGAAGATTTCAAAACAACCCGAAGGCCCTTGCTCAAACAACAAACCCTAAACACCAGCCGTTGTTTCCGAACAACAAGCAATTTGTAAACAGCAAACGAAACGAAACGAAGGCAAATAGGGAAACAACAAATCGAACGAAGACAAAATGCAAACGACCTGGTAAAACTGCAAACGACCTGGTAAAATTGCAAACGATCGAACACCCAAACCTATGGAAGGATTCAAAATTTGTGGAGAGATCTTCGCTTTGAAGGAACAGGGAAGAAATAGATTTCCGGATGTTTGCAATTCTAATTTTCGGATTTGCAGTATAATAGGGAGAAAAATAGGGGATTTGATTTTGAAGATTTATTTTACCGTATATTGATAGGGATATTGATAGGGGTACTTTTGACAAATTATAAATAAAAAATTTGCTGGAAATTAGAGTTTATTAGATGGATTTTAACACATATAATCTCTTATAGAAGGACCTATAGCAAATTGCCCCTAAAATTTATTTCCAAAAAGAATTAAATTTAGCCAATAAAAAAATAATAAAATAAAATGGGATTTGAGCAGGCAACAAACAACATCAATTTTATTGGATTATGTGAAGCAGTTATCGCTAGAGCACGCGCAAATATATGAAAGGAAGAACTTTATTAAATAGAAATGGGTCCAAAGAATTTATGCCGGGCATGAAAATAAAGGCTGCACCTTTTAAAGCTAAATATATTAACAACCTTAATTTATAGTAGTATATATGTTTTAATGGCACGAATGATGATGCCATAATATTTATAAAAAAAAAAAACGATCAAGATTTTCAATTAATGATATACTTATTTGTATAATATAAATAATTAGAAATAAATAGTGTCACATAAGATTTAAATTGAAGGTTGACTGAGTCAACGGAGTGAAAAAACAAAGAGAGGTGGTCAGCTTTCTTCACATCTTTTGCGTTCAAAGATGATGACAGTGAAATAATTGTCGAATCCCAGCCTTAATAAAGTGATGTTATTCTCAAGAAATGCACTCAACAATTTAATTATGGCTCGCACAATTTATTCTTTCTCGTATGCAACAAACAATTTTTTTTTTTCTTTTTCAAATATATATTGCACAACAAATCTCATCAATTATCACACCATTTTCTCTTTTTTATTGATTTTATATTTACAACTTTGCAAGGGAATAATAATGTATTAAATGATTAAACATAATAAAATAAAATGAAAAAGAAAAGAAGAAAAGAACCAAATGCATACGACCCCAGCAGGAGGGCGATTCTCCCTACCTCCTCCACATATCACATGCAAATTGTTGGAACTCAAAATACTAATTATAGGACTCAAATATCCTCTTGCATATTAAATTAATATTAGTGTGTAATTAAGTATGTATTTGCATTTGATTTTTTATTTTTATGCTATTAGAAAAGAGACTAATAACAGCTGTTTTTGCTTGAAATTATGTTAATCCATATGTTGATTACCAGCAACATGTCACTCCTCAAAACGGTGGTTCTTGATTGCACTGATTGGCTAAACAACTTAAGTTACACACTACTACTCCTTAAATTATGTTACATCTATAATAATTATGCATAATTAATACTCCCATATACTATTGAAGTTTGACAGAAAATAAAGTCAGGATTATTGCAAATAAATAAAATACACATTTCTGAGTTGGAAAAATGGCACCCAAAAAAATCAAAAAAAAAAAAAAAGTGAACTGTTTAGTCGTAAAATTACCACAACATTGAAATACAATATTAAAAATTAAAAAAATCAGGAAATTAAAAAAAGAATTATGGGATTTAATTACCCTGAGTTCTTTTGCAATGGAGAACTGCTTCATAGATGGAGCTCTCAGAATCACACGATGTTCGCCAGTTGTCATCAGCAGAGTAAGCCAAACTAGTCCTAGGCGATATCGTCGTCGCAGCAGATAATTCCCAGTTCGTCTTCCCGCTCTTATCAAATTGACCATTATGCCCTCGCCGCCGTTTCCAAAAGAGTGGCCGCAGCAGAAACTTCAAATACTTTTGAAAAAATCTCTTCGAAAATCTCCGACACCTCATCAGCGACGCACATCGAACCCTACACGACGAAAACGTACCCGCCGCCACCGTTTTCCGATCGGCCGACGACGACGAGGTGGAAGCATTCCACGTGTCAGAATCTAATTGGACTTCATCGGAGATTGATTCCCTTTTCACGTCTTTCACGAAAAGAGGAACAATGAAACCGTTGGAGATGAGCTCGTCGGCGTGCACGAGGCCTAACGGAGAATCGGAAACCGGAAAATCGAAATCGAAACCGAAATCGGACGAAACTCGGAAAAATCTCTTCGAAGGCGGCAACCTCGGATCCATCTCGATGAAGGAATAATTAGCTTCGTCTTGATCGTAATATGCGTCAATGGAGGATGCCATTAGTGAGTTGTCTTCAAACGACGTCGTATCTAAATTAGCTAACCAACTGTATGAGAAACTCTCATTGGAGGGAGATAACTGCAGGGATGCACTACTACTAGTTTCCATTGAAGATGAAAAAAAAAAGTATTGTATTTAATTTAGAGAATTTAATTAAAGGGAGACAAAGGTTGGTTATAAAGGAACAAAGATACACTTCATCTACCATAACACGTATATATACATTTATCAATTGCATATATATATATATATATACTTGTGCTGACAAATATATACTTGTGGTGGTATGACTTCAGACAAGTGTAATTAATAATTGACAAGGAAAGAAATTGGAGAAAGGGGAATACAATATTTAGCCCCACACATGTACTCATTTTCTTGCATTAAAATAGATTGATACTAGATTTCTTTATTAGACATAATAAATCACATTGTCTGTACAATTTTATATATACACACACACTCATTGCCTAGGCTATAGAGGTCACTGAGGTAACGTAGAGTTCATTAGGAGAAGCAACTTAATGCATAAATTATTTGGTTAATGTTAGTTAAGGTTTAGCAGCAATTGTTCACGTGGGAGAAGTCTGGTTATAGGCGGCCGACAATCGAATACCGTACGTGCTTGCGTGTACTGAATGCACTGTAAAGTTAGTGTTTGCGCCTTTTCTGACGTAAATTGGATTTAGAACAACGGGTAGCGTCTGAGGTCACTACAACTGGTATCGGAACCAATTAGGATCGTTTACTCTAATAAGATTGTATAATCTTATTTTACTAATCATATCTTAAAAACCAAACGAGTATGTTTTTTTATATATATAAACAATTTGGCTCAACAAAAGCTCTGAATAAGAGGTCTATTGGTGATCCAGACTGGCCTAGAGAAGTGATGTAGGCTACATAGCAACTAAAACAAGGACCATTTAGTTTCATAGAATATATGTTGTAATAAATTATGGTTTAATAAAATCAGAGCAAGGGAACAAGAAAACAGGATAAGATCCTCCAAGTTAAGCTAAATTATCGATCAATCATACCACAACACATGTTCCCCTACACAACAAGCGCGGAAAAGCTAACAGTGCAACGAAATAGTTAAATAGGACTGTTAGCTAAAGTCGATCTTGTTTCGTTCTCAAAATAAGATTATGTAATCTCGTGTATTTTCGATCGTGTAACTACACCTGGGAGGTGCAATACACAAATTCCCCGTTTTTCCATAATGGCGTTAAATTAAACGACCTAAATAAGATCCAATTAATTATTTAATCGTAGCAATGAACTTTTTCGTTAGCATATGCAGTAGTAATTAAAAAAAAATATCATTTTCAGCGACGACTTTTCATGGTGTTAATTACGCGCAAAGATATATAGGAAATTTAGGGGAGATGAAATATCAGAGAGTTTCTCTTGGTAGGGAAATATCAGGGGCTCACATCCACCAAACAACCTGAGTGGTGGTGATTTTTGCTCTTGCAATAATAATAATTTTATTGTTGTAGGAGTTGTCTAAATTGTCCTTTTTGTCATTAAAAAAAGAAAAAAAAATCCAGCTATTATATATATTAATATATTTATGAACGAACGCTTGCAAACAACGTAGACTAAACCAAAAAACCAGACAGAGGTCCCCCTGTTTGTTGAGAAAAAGGCAGGCATTGAGGTATCTATTAGGAAGCAAAAACCAGAACTTTGAATTGACATTAAACCCCCATTGGTCCCCCTTCCTCCCAAATAATTTTTAATTATTTTTATTTTTTAAATAAATTAAAAAAAAGCTACTTGGAAGAAAAAAATGATTCCCTAGCTATAATAAACACTTGTACTCCAAATGAAGATATGACGACACTCTAATAATGGAGATGAAACTACAGCACATACACGAAACAAGAATCTTGTGAAAGAGATGTGTAGATACATATATATATATGTGTATGTATATGTCTGTGTCCCACATAGAAATAGCAATGCATGGCCAACTCAGTCAGAAAGTTATATGGCAGCATCCGAGTTCCAACTCACAGTTACGAAACAAACTACACTGCACAAACAAAACAAACTAGTGTTCGTTAAGACACCACCTTTGGTGTAAGAGCTTGCAATGTTTCTTGCATGTGGATTTTAAATGATTTCTGATGACTCATATTAATTAGGTCAAATAATTCAAGAAATAGTTCAAATTGGGAAATTTTAAAACGGTGTCGTATGATGGAGTCCTATTTTGTTATTTGGGTCCGGGCCTTGTTTCAAAGAGTTCAAGCCCAACTGCATCTTCGGGCCGAATTGTGTGGGCTTTAATTGTCTGGTGCCCCCAGATTTGATTGTAACAAGAACCCAAACTTTAATTCAGAAGATTAGCATTTTCGTACATAATTAATCATTGATGCTGTCACCATCTAATAATTGAATAGCTAAGTGTGAAAATCAGAAAAAATGGATGTAAATATTTCTGAATTAGTTTGAAAGGCCATGCAACAAAGAACATAATTAATTTGAACCAAAAGAGAAGAACAAATTAATTAAACACGTGGCAGATTATCCATAACCGACCAATATGTTCATTTTTTCAACGTTGTAGCTCACCCACCATCGGCCACGTGTCCGATCCTCCATTGTTATTCCCCACGCAATTCCAAAATTTCTTCCTTCCCTCCAATCCCTCTCAGAAATAATGCAATATAATAGAATTCACTAGCAAAACCTTCGTTCCAAATGAATCACAATCTCCACTAACTTTAACATGGTAACTTTATTACGTTATTTCTCTTTGTTCTGGGCATTGTTTTTCTTGCTCCTCGGATCCTCTATGTCGGGTCGGATCAGTCCGGGTTCGAGATTGTTAGCGGGTCAGGGTCAAACATGGGTTTCAGACAATGGCACTTTCGCTTTCGGGTTCGCCCCGACAGATTCAAGAAACGAGCAGTTTCAGTTGGGAATTTGGTTTGCACAACTTCCTGGTGATCGAACCCTTGTTTGGTCAGCTGATATGTAAGCATAAATAATAGTAATATATACCACCTTTCTTTTTTTTTTTTTTTTAATTAATATAAATCTTAAATTATATTCACGTTCCATACACAGTTGAATTTCTATAAATTAGTACAATCGAGGGTAGAATTTTTTTATTAATTTAGCATGTCATGATCGAGTCAAAACCGACATAAATTATTATTTAAACGACATTATTGATTTACCCAATATTAATTTATCGAGTATATAAAATATATGTCATATATCTGTCCAGGTGTACTATAATTTATTTTGTCTAAATAATATAAATAGAAATTCTCCAGTCAGCAAAGATGCAATCTTGGACTTCAACGCCGACGGCAACCTTGTCCTTACCCATCGAGGCAGTACAGTCTGGACATCAAATACTTCAAGAGTCGAAACAGCCCTCCTCTCAGAAACCGGCAACTTCCTCCTCTACGGCCCAGATCAACTCATCGTGTGGCAGAGCTTCTCCCATCCGTCCGATACACTTCTACCCGGACAACCCCTGACCGTCGATCTCGAGCTCAAATCCACGTCATCACCTTCACACGGAGGATATTACACCCTGAAAATGCTGCAGCAGCCCACTTCACTGAGCCTCGCCCTCACCTACAATTCCCCCCAATCTCTCACAAACTTCTCCTATTGGTCCGGCCCAGACATATCCAACATAACAGGACACGTGTCAGCAGTCGTCGACCAGGAGGGTAGTTTCGGAATTGTGTACGGATCCTCCTCCGACGGAGCGTAGTGTACAAGAACGACAACGACAGTAATGGACTATCATTCTCGCCCACAAACAGAACAAACAACACGCCGCCGTCAATTCTCCGCCGACTCGTTCTCGAGACCAACGGGAATCTCCGTTTGTATCGTTGGGACAACGACGTAAACGGGTCCCGCCAGTGGGTCCCGGAGTGGGCCGCCATTTCCAAACCATGCGACATCGCTGGAATTTGCGGCAGCGGGATATGCAATTTGGACAGGAGTAAGACCAATGCATCCTGCACCGATATCTTGCCACCCGGAAATAATAACAACAACAACAACAATAATAATAATAACTATTCATCATCTCTAAATAAAAAAAAATGCGGCCCTCAATTCAAGATTACGACGGTTCAACAAACGAATTACTACTTCTCCGATGCGTCGGTGATATTAAACTACAGCGATATAGAGACGGTCTCAAAGTGTGGCGACGCTTGCTTGTCAGATTGCGAGTGTGTCGCATCGGTGTACGGGCTTGACGAAGAAAAGGCGTATTGTTGGGTCTTAAGGAACATGGAGTTCGGCGGGTACGAGGATGTGGGGTCCACCTTATTTGTTAAGGTTGTCTCGAATGGTTCGGTGGCCGGAGGCTCTTCTAATGGATCTCTGAGTAGTAGTAAGGGAAAGTTTTTGGTGATTCCAATTGTTCTGAGCATGATTGTACTAATAGCCCTGCTTTTTTGCTTGCTATATTTCAACGTCCGTCGAAAGAGAATTTTACGGGAAGCAATTGAGAAGTCGTTAATTGTATCCGGAGCTCCGGTTAGTTTCAGCTACCGTGATTTACAGTATAGGACTAGTAACTTCTCTCAATTACTAGGAACAGGTAATCAACAACTATATATACACACACATGCATATTAAACAGGGTAATTAATTTCTTGAACTTGAAAATTGATTAATATTCTAAATGTACGTGCCAGGTGGATTCGGAAGTGTGTACAAGGGAAGCCTGAGCGATGGAACCTCAATCGCTGTGAAAAAGCTCGACAAGGTTTTGCCACATGGGGAAAAAGAGTTTATTACAGAGGTCAACACTATTGGCTCCATGCATCACATGAACTTAGTCCGTCTTTGCGGGTACTGCTCCGAGGGTTCGCAGAGGTTTGTAATTTTTTCGGTATATATATAATAATTACGCGTTGATTAAAATAAAAAATACTCTCGGGTTTTAACTATGTATATGTTAATTACAACAGGCTCCTAGTGTACGAGTTCATGAAAAACGGGTCGTTGGACAAATGGATATTCGCTTCAAGCAATACATTCCGAGATTCCGAAGACAGAATACTCGATTGGTCGACACGTTTCAACGTAGCAGTTGGTACAGCAAAAGGGATTGCGTATTTCCACGAGCAGTGTCGGAATAGGGTGATACACTGCGATATAAAGCCGGAGAATATTCTCTTGGACGAGAATTTCTGCCCCAAGGTATCGGATTTTGGGCTGGCTAAACTGATGGGCAGAGAGGCGTCGCGCGTGGTCACTATGGTGAGAGGGACGAGGGGCTATCTGGCACCCGAGTGGGTTAGTAACCGTCCGATAACCGTGAAAGCTGACGTGTACAGTTATGGGATGCTCCTATTGGAGATAATTGGTGGGAGGAGAAATCTTGACATGACTTGTGATGCAGAGGATTTCTTTTTCCCCGGATGGGCTTTCAAGGTATATACATAAATTAAGTTTACTGCATTTAGTATTCTTGTCTTAGGGGTACATAATTTGCTAATAAAATTGATCATAGAGTCGATCTTGCTAATATTTATAACACAAGGATTTTTTTCGACAATTAGAGTAGATATACGGGTGCTAAATGCAATATACATTACACCTTAATCGAGTTTATTGCATTTAATTAGCACCCATGTGTCATATAAAATTAAAGACTCCCCATATTATCACTATTAGCAAAACTCCCCTTTATACTATATTTTTTTAGAACACCATTCCTTAAATGGTGGATTAAAAGATTGAATCATAGGTGTGTTTTTTTGCCTAATAAAGTAACACGGAGATTTTTTTAGTAATTCGAGAAAATACAGGGATGTTGAATGCAATAAAACCTAATAAATTTTCATCTCATTCGGCTCGTACTCAATTATGTTATTCGTAAAATAATTGAATGTAAGTGAGTGTTTATATACAGGAAATGACAAATGGGACAGCTACAAAAGTTGCAGACAGAAGAATGGAAGGATCGGTGGAAGCAGACGAGGTTGTAAGAGGTTTAAAAGTTGCGTTTTGGTGCATACAAGATGAGATTGCGGTGAGGCCTACGATGGGCGAAGTTGTGAAGATGTTAGAAGGATCGGTCGATATTAATATGCCTCCAATGCCACAAGCTGTTTTGGAGTTAATAGAAGAAGGGCTAGATAATGTGTACAAAGCTATGAAGAGCGATTTTAACCATTCTACTTCTTTTACCACAATTAGTCGTCAACCGTCGTCGTCTCGTGCAACTTGTAGTTATTCCTCGATGTCCCCGAGATAAAATAAACAATGCGAATTTTTTTTTTCGATTTTTAATTGTAAGAGATGATATATCATACACAGTACCAAGACAAATAGTCCTCTCTTCTTATTATGCCCTTAAAAATTATTGTTAAATATTGATTTAAATCGAATGTATAGATGTCAAAACCCAAAAGTATATTAAAGCAACTCCAATGGAGGCACTAAATGAGGTATCAAACTAAAAAACTACCACTTTGATGCTCTAAAATTAAAAAATTCTTCTCCAATGGTGGCATTAAATGGAGAATTATTTTGATACTCAACTACCCCGAGGTGCAAAAATACTCCCTGGAAAATGAGGTATCAAAAATATAACCACTCCATTAACCTATCACAATTTGACACGTGGCATTTAAAAAAATAATTATTCATATATTTAAAATTTGATAATTTATTTGATGCTCGTGGTTGGAGTGAATTTTTTTTCAAGAAATATCAAAGTATTATATCAAGTATCAAATGAATATTTAATGCTCCATTTTGATATCTCTCCATTGAAGTTGCTCTTAATATATAAAAACTACAGTTAAACCTCTATAAATTAATATAGTCGGGATCGATCAAATTCTATTAATTTAGTGAAATATTCATTGAACGAAATATTTTTAACACGTTGCCTTCGAGTCGGGACCAGAAAAATATATATTTAAATGAGACTATTAATTTAATTTATGGAATATTAATTTATCAATGTTCTACATAGTAGTAAATAAATTTCCTTTTTCTTTTTTTTAACTATATGAATATATACATGAAATCGACATTAAGAACTTGTAACAAAATCATGAATTCCGCGCACACACGCAAACAAACGCATTAATCTGTATCAATTTTCCGCCAGTTTGGAATATTTCCAAATCGGATTCCGAAATTGAGATTTCTAATTCTGCAACTCAGAGAAAAAGGCGAATGGAGAAGATGAAATACGCGGAGGAACTCGTGAGAGAATTTCTCGTGTTCAGAGGATTCACAAGCACTCTCCAATCTTTCGAGAAAGAGTTAGCAACTGATATCGGTAGGGGATTTCAAGTCGATAAGATTTTAGACCTAATTTTCTCCGTTTACATCCCCAAATTCGAGGCCGAGAAGTTGTTCGATCTACTCAGCTTTTTCAAAAACTGCTTCTCGTATTCCGATTCCGATCTTATTGCTGTTCTTGCGAAATTGGATCAGTCAATAGTGCGTTATTATATTGTAAATGCCCTAAAATGCGGTAGAAAAGACAAAGTGTTGGAGTTTTTCGGATGTTTTGGGAACGACTTGATTCGGAGAGACGAAAGTTGGAATTCCTGGTTTGGTAAGTTCAATTTGTCAATAGATAATTAAATATCGTGGTTTATTGGAACTGATTGATTTTATTGGCTTCTACTCGTTGCAGCGATTCCTTATTTGCAGAATCCGCATTTGGATCCGCAGTTTCGCGTGTATTTCTCGGAGGAGTGGTTCCGTTCTTTGCACATCACTATTAGGAATTTCTTGAGTGAGATTCTTAATGGTACTCATATCCTTAATGAACATTGAATGCATTATTTGTTTAACGACTGCTGCATTTTTTGTCAATTTTTTTCTATGTTTCAGTATTTTGCTCGATGAGTTAGTGAAACTATTCGTATTGATTTATTAAGAGGAATAGTACTTACTTGTGTTGCAATCATATTAAGAAATGAAATATAAAACTATGTTGCTGATTATTCTATGCCTTGTGCTATGTGTAAAGGAGACTTGCCATTTGTCTATGTTCGAATTCACATTTGCACGAGTAAACTATTATTCATATAACACGATGCTGGTTGGGATGAAACTGAAGATATGATGATAATATGGATATTTTAGTCGCACTGAACATTTCCAGATGTTTGTAGTGTATCGAGTCAACTGGATTTCAACAGAGGATTAACCAATGCATTTTAAGTAGAGGAATCAGTTCAAAGGGTACAAATTAAGGGCCTACGCAAAGGCAAATTATTATACTATTTACAATGAATAACTTGCCGACTAGTGAAAATATCTACTTCTCTGGATGATATTTTCATTTGAGATATGATTCTCTTTTCCTTAGCTTATTTACGTACCCCTGCCTTGCTGAAGATCAGTTCTGAAAGGGATAATGTGAATCATCTGAAGAAAGAGATTAAGAAACTTAGTCTCAAGTTATCACAAGTTCAAAGTCTGTTGGAGGAGAAAGAAGCACTATTGTTTCTTTCAAGGAGGTAATCTTGGTTACTGATTGTGGTGTAATGAATGGACAACGTATTACATCTACTAATCATGAACGACATTTTTTTTCTTTTGCAGTGACTCAGAAGTAGCTAAGTTTCCACCTAATATGCCTTATGAATCTCATGTGAATTCTACATCATTAATGGAAGAAAGAGAGCCATTTCAGACTAGGGACAATGATCAAGTTGTGGTATCCAATGAGGCGAGGGATAATTTTAGTGATCGTTCTGAGGAGAATCAGAGAAGTGAAACTCACCAAGCTTCTGTAGATGACTCTGCTGTGGGTGAGTTGCTGCTAGAATTTTTGGTTTGTTTTACACAGATGAAACAGGTTAAGAGAGTATTGTGATTTTCTGACCATGTTAATAGGATATAGCTAGTCAAGCTACTTATGCTATATGTAGTTTTAAGTCTGCATTTCTCCGTGACAGGAAATAGTTACAATTTGCAGAATGAAGAAGATTTTCCAGAAGTGAAACCCGTATTTCAGGTTAATTCTTTTGAAAGAGATCATACTTGGTCGTCATGCTTAAATTCCACCTCTATACTCACCTTTTTTTTGCCTTAAGATTTGTTTCCTTTCCATATTTCATCAAATTAATGTCCGTTCTATTCTTGTATTATAGGATACATTCATGGGCCACACAAGTCCAATCAGTTGTAGCCGCTTTTCAACATCTGGCGACAATATTGCTAGTTCTTCTATTGATGGCACAGTCAGGTATAATACTCACAACTGGCATTAATACTCACAACTTTGTCATTTCCAAGGTTTGCATTGATTTGCTCTTAGTTTTGACCCTTCTGCAACATTTTGTATAGCTTGCTTCGATATTTATCCTTAGACTATAATTCCGAAACTGATCAAATCATTGAGCATGGTACATAAACCAAAGCTAACATTTGTCGTAATATTATGTATCGATTTCAAGACTTTTTATGAACTTTGGTATACTTTTCATTTTTCAACTGTCTAATGGCCTTATCATTTCTACTTATTTCATGTGCTATGGTGAAGGATATGGACCTATGATTCATCAGCACCAACATCTAGAAATGCAACCATCTACTGTGGAGCGGAGGTCATGTCTCTTGAGTGGGAATGCAAATCTGATCGTTTGGTACGTTGCTGGATTTTATTACTGGATGTATTTTGTATTTGTAATGATATTTCTTTGTCTCGGTATTCTGTAATAATTTCCTAGTAACGTATACTGGACATTTGATGTTTATTGTCTATTTGACTAAAGCTATTGATAGGCACTTCTGATGGAGGCATTAAAGCTTGGAATGTAGATGCAAAACGAGTTGTTTGTGATCTCACCTCAACTGAAGCATACCCCAGGTGCTCTTTCTCTACTTCGTCTATTCATCTATGCCCCTTTTGGCTTTTACCTTTTCTGCGCAAGGTTACGACAAGTTTATCCCAAGTCTTTCTTTCGCCATCAACATTGCTTTATTTTCTATCATTCAGCATTTTGGACCTGAAATGCAGCCCTGTGGAGCCTATTTTTGTTTCTGCAGCAGCATCCAGGAGGTACATTTGCACTTACAATATACTTTTTTCGGTGTTACCATTAGCTCCTGCCTCCACAAGCACGTGTTTCTCTTTTTAAGACATAATGGTTCTTGTATCTACCCTGGTTGTTATAAAGAACGAATCTATAAAACTTAGGATTAAATAAGCAATGATAGTGGACCATCCGTGGAAAAGACAAAATTGTCCTGCATATTGTAAATGTTTGTTTTGTAATATTTGCAGGCAAGGTACTGGCTATGTTGATAACTTGGGCTTCGCCTCTTTAACTGTCTGGAACATGAGGACATGGAAGCCTGTGGTATGTAATTGTCTGTCTCGTAAATTTGTATATGAATCCCGAATGATTTTTCGCCTTTTTTTTTTCCTGAATAAGAAGTCATGTGTCCTCACTTTTCTCAACTTCTTTGAAGACAGTCCTTCCTCTTGGTGACGATCCACCGGCAATAACCTCATTGAGTTTCAATCACAATGGAAAACTTTTAGCAGCTGCTGCAACCGATGGAATGATTCATATGTTTGGTATCCTTACTTCATCTTCTGCATAGTATTATTGTATCTTTCTTAATCATAGATTTCCATCTGGCAAGATTCATATTGAAGACCAGATACATAAACCTTAATTGAGAAAAAAAGATATGTCTGCTGGGCTGCAAGTTACTGGATGGCCGGCTCATGATTCTGCGATTAGCTCAATTCTTTTTGGGCCTGATGAGACCAGCATTTTTAGCTTGGGAACTGATGGAAATGCAAGTATCTTTGACTACTCTTACTATCCTTTGCAATTGCAGCATGCATGATGCATCAGAATAGTTAGCCGGTTTCATTCGAATTTATTAATTAATGTATATTATCATATGATTCCTTCGAGCCAGTATAAATTTTACTTGCTATCGGGATTCTAACCTGAAAGTTTAACCTCCCAGATATTCGAATGGAGCTTGCAAAATCAAGGAAAAATTCTTTGGTCAAGAAATTGCAACAGGTATAAAGTCGTGTTACGTAGGAAAGTATTATTCATCTTCTTTCTTCAAATTTAGCGTCAACAATTACTTGGTCAAGAAATTTGCAGTCAGATGTTAATTATTTTTCATTCCATAATATAAGAAGTTAGCAATGAATCAATCATCTGGTATAGGTATTGTAGTCCAGCGAATTCATCTCGACATCAAATGGCTTTAGATGCTAATGGGAGGAATCTTCTGGTGACATCAAACTTAACAACAGCCCCAATATACCAGGTAACCACAGTCTGGTATACTATGGTTACGCAGTGATGTATTCGTTAACTCTCGTAATTTATAATTAATTAAATGTGGACAGCTTCGAGGTCAAATGAGTGGCATGAGAAGTCTTTCTCACAATGGATCTATCACAGCCGTAGATTGGCACCCGACGTTGCCCATCTTCTTGACAGGGTCGTCTGATCACTCTGTCAGGGTCTCATCAATAAAATGATGATCTATTGTTGCTTGCCAAATATTTATTTTCGATTGTTTCTTTTATTAAGTTTTATTTATTTTACTTGGGGGAGGATTGGTGGGTGAAGGAGGTGGGGGGTTGTATTTGTAATTTACGTAGTTATTTCCTTCGGAAGGAGGTGGGTCGATTATTATAATTTAATTGGTTTAAGTGTGTGCAAGCTAAGCTTAAACATTAATTAGTTAAATGGGCCATCTCGATTAGGGCCACCTCTAGTAGGGCCCATTGTTAAAATTTAATTACTTCAAATAGGCTAGCCGAGCTTATATTTGTATCATTTTGGGCTTATTTATATCTAATGGGTCGAGGCCCGTTATATCCTGGGCCTTGAATCAAACTTTAACTGGGCCGAACTGACCTAAAATTAATAAATTTGGGCTTGTTCATATTTGTCGACAGAAGCCCATTACATATTCATATGCCCAGATAGCCTTGGGCTCTAAATTAAGCTTTAATTATTATTAAAATTTAAGTAGTTCAAATGGGCCAGCTGAGCCTAAATTTGTAACATTTGGGCCTCTTAATATCTTATGGGCCGATGCCCGTCATTCCTTGAACCAAACTTTAACTTGGCCGAAGTGATCTAAAATTAATAAATTTGGGCTTGTTAATATTTTGTCGATCGAAGCCCATTATATATTCATAAGCCCAGATGAGCTTGGGCTCTAAATTAAGCTTTAATTAGTTAAATGGGCCACCTCGATTAGGCCCATTATCAAAATTTAATTAGTTCAAATGGGCAAGCTGAGCTTGAATTTGTAGTATTTGGGCCTATTAATATCTTATGGGCCGAGTCCCATCAGCACTTGGGCATTGAACCAAACTTAAACTGGGCCGAAGTGATCTAAAATTAATAAGTTTGGGTTTTTTAATATTTTATCAGCCGAAGTCCATTATATTTTAATAAGCCCAGATGGGCTTGGGCTCTAGATTAATCTTTAATTAGTTAGAATGGGCCACCTCGTTTTGGCCAATTATTAAAATTTAAGTTGTTAAAATGGGCCGAAGCTGTCTAAAATAGTTTTTTTCGGCGTAGGATCATTTTTCGGCCAGGCCCATTGAGTATATTAAAGTTTAACAATGGGCCTAAAGTAACCTATCCCATTGAACTGAGTAATGTTTTTTTTTTTAAGTAATTCAAGTCATTACAAGGGGAAGTAGGGGAGGGGGACTCGAACCCTAGACCTTTTACCCTATTGGTAAGGCTAGGTACCAACTCTCCTAATGAAGGTTGATAAGTAATGTTTATTTAAGAGCCCAAATTTTATCATGTTAGCCTACTTTCGGCCTATTTTTTGGGTCGTACGGTATTTGGCTTGTCATGTAAGAACGAATGAGATCTTGTCCCAGTGCACAACTATTACATTCACTTGCATTGGATATACACAAATACACACCTGCAGAAAGAAATAATAACAGACATTTAATTGGTGGGGAGGGAGTCAATCATCATCATCATCGAAATCTAGTACCATCCTCAACCGCCTTCTGGACGCACTGCTGTCCTGTGAGGTAACAGCTATCACTGGATCTTCGTTTTCATCAAAATCCGCCAATTCATCGGCAAGCATATCATCATCATGCTGCGAATTCTCATTAGACTTGGCATCCAATTCATTTGGATAGGCCATCCCAATTGTTTCGATTTCTTTATCACTAGAATTGTCGACAATAATGCCACCCAACTCAGTGGACTGCTCAATGTCATACCTGGGAAATAATATTATTAAGTGGTATGTATGATCAAGGCATAATAGTGGTCATTGCAGTACATAAAGCTTTAAGCATGCATCAAAAGATCTATATTACCAGTCAGGAACCCAGATTCCTGTTGGGGGATAATTGACACAACATGCGGGTATAGTAAACTAAGTAAATAAAGATCGAAAAGATTGCGTAGACACTGAAATTTGGGGCAACATAGTGTTGTAAGATTAAACTTTTAAATACTACTCCTAATACACCTTATTGTTCAGAATAATGCGCATTATCTAGGTTCGAAGGAAAACGATCAAGTCATGCATTTGCCAATAGAAGAATATGCAAACTAATAAAATAAATATCTCAAATGCATCCTTCCACACCATCGGCATGCTTGAGCCTGACTGTTCTCTAATTATGCATGACAGAATATGATAAAACATCCATTTGTTAATAAGTGTAACGTAGTAATTTTCAAAAAGCTTACCTTGTCAGTCGGCATCTATTAGAAAATTAACCACCATAATAATGTTCTAAACTCTATAGACCGACATAACTAATAAGTATGAATAATTGCATACTGCTTTGCTAAGATACGTAGTGAAACCCCCACAATCCAGTAAATCATATTGGTCAGAATAAAATTACCAGATTAGAGAGATAGCAATTAAATACCTCTCTGAGACTTGGGAATCTCTGCCAATGAGGTTAGACTCGACTAAATTCTCCTCAAATGAATCAGTCATAAGCTCCTTGGCGACACTCTTTTGGGACTTTCGCTTTGTTTTTCTACATCAAAACCATAGTGATAATAGTATGTATTAGTACGTAACAAACGACACAAAACAAAAAAATCAAAATGGAGATAACGTGAAATGTGGGAAAGAACTATTTTATGGTGTTGAGTCTTCCATTATCTTCATCAACTTTCAACAAAGGTAAAATTTTCGTTTACATCAATGAGATCCCCATCTACCTATTTCTCAGAGATGACAATGGTTCGTCATCATCAGATTCCCGTGCACCTTCCGAATGGATATCACTAGAAACCTCATCCCTTAACTGCATGCTAGCATGAGACCTCTTCTTCTTTGGCCTATCAAGGCCAAGTTGCTTGAGTTTGTGAGAAACCTGAGCGGCAGAAACTGTGCAAGTGCTATCAAGCGCATTAGCAATCATGTAGCTGCACCTGCTGTGATCTTTAAACCTTCAAGAAATTTACATCACTATCAGATTCTATTTGTTTGATAAAAAAAAATTGCAGACAAGTAATACTAGGGTATTGCTAGAAAGCACTTACTGCTCAAACAAATCTTTGATCTTCTGCTCCTCATCTACACTAAAAGCATGTACTCTTTTTCTAGAGTGCCTAAGAAGGAAGAGGAAGGACTATCAATTAACTTGAAGAAAAGAAACCAAAAGACAGATCTGAATGTCCAAACTGTTTCAAACTCCATAGACCAACGTAAGTGAAAAAAAAGCCTATTTGCTTGGGTAAACTACGTACTGAAACCCCCAAATGTTATAATCATACCTGCCAAAATAAAACTACCAGATAAGAGATATAGCAAATAAATACCTCTCTGAGATTTTGGTACTTCTGCCAGTGAGGTTAGTCTCCACTAAATTCTCCTCGGATGAAACAGCCATAAGCTCCTCGTCAATACTCTTTTGGGGCATTCTCTTTGTTTTTCTACATAAAAAACATATTATTAGTAAGTAACAAAAACTATAAAAAGAAAAATCAACATTGAGAAAATGTGAAACAGAGGAAAGAACTATTTTATGGTGTTGAGTATTTTGAATCTTCGAACACTTTGCACTGAGCTAAAAAAATTATTTACATCAGTGCATTCCCCATTTACCTATTTCTCAGAGATGACAATGTTTCATCATCAGATTCGTCTGCACCTTCCGAATGGATGTCACTAACAACCTCATCCCTTAACTGCATGCTAGCATGAGACCTCTTCTTCGTTGGCCTAACAAGGCCAAGTTGCTTGAGTTTGCGAGAAACCTTGGCAGCAGAAACTGTGCCAGTGCTGTCAAGCGCATTAGCAATCATGTAGCTGCACCTCCTATGATCTTTAAACCTTTAAGAAATTTACATACTTCAACTTCAGATTCTATATGTATGGGCCAAACAGCAGACAAGTAATACTAGGATATTGTTAGAAAGCACTTACTGCTCAAACAAATCTTTAATCTCCTGTTCCTGATCTACGCTGAAAGCGTGTACTCTTTTTTTAGAGTGCCTAAGAAGGGAGATGAAGGGCTATCAATTAACTTGGGAACATACACCAAAGCCAGATACGTATCATTTTCTACAATACAGAGTAATTTCCCTGAAACAGGCAACACAGCAAGCTAGCAATAAACACACCGCATTTGAATGCTCAAACGCACTTACTTAGGTTCTTTCAGCAATGAACTTCTGTCTGCAGTAGTTGAATGGTGATGAGTTGTACCCCGTGAAAGATCCCTTTTGTTTTTCCTGAGTCGGTTGGAGGCAGAAGAGCTCTGCATCTTTGCCTCAGCTGGTACTTTAATTCCAAGCTGTTTAAGCGTCTTGGAAACTTGCAATTTTGAAATATCTCCATTAGGATCAAGATCTCCAGCAATGAGCTGACAACAATCTGGATTATCCTTATACCTTGCATGCCATAATTGTGAGTGAATTTGCGTTAATTGGCAATATAAAATCATAACATCGTAAAAATGAAGACAAAGTAAAAGCAACCTCTGTGTTCCAAGAGAATTACATTGCAGATTGATTATAAAGAAGGTTTCATACGACAACTGACAACCGAGTGAAAACATTCTAGATACCCATCTTTTAATGATCAAAAATATTTTCCATATAATTTTTACATGATTTAGGATAACTTACTTTGGAAAGAGATCCATAACTGTGCCTTGCATTTCAAAACTAAGACCGGGAACATTTCCTCTTTCTAATGATTCATCAGATTCTTCTGCAGAGTTCCCCTCCCTGAGTCAGTTAAACAACAGAAAAGTGAGTATAAAGATAGAAACCAAAAGGAGCTGAAAGGAATCATAGAAGATCATGCCTATCAGAAATTTCACTCCCATCAATTGGTTTGTTCCGAATTGACGTGCTGGTCTCATTTCCTTCTCCAGATCTTTGGCTGAATCCACCTTCAAAATGATCATCTTTCCTGCATATCATTCATTAATTCTCAGACCACAACAAAATTCTTCGAATTTCTAACCTCGTTATCCTGCTGTCATTACATGCATTGGTTTTCATAGGAAGGGGAATAAAAATCTAGAAACAATACACACACAGATGCATTATAACAGAACCAAGGTGCTGGAAAAGTTATTACTTTTAATTCAAATGAAAAAAAATGCTATAGTAAGACATGATTAATTCTGATACAGTGAAATACGTCTAGAAACGTGAAATAAAAGTAACCGCTACAGTTTGCGATATCATACCCTTGGCTGTCGAGGCGAGATGCTACAAAATCATCATCACCTAGGGCGTCTGCTATACTCCTGCGAACCCATGTTTGCCCTTCAAACAAACCATTTCCTCCTTTTTCACTGCCAATTCTTTCTTCCCCAGTTTGGTTCTTCATACTGTTAAGCTCAGTTAGCATTGATTCACAATTTATATAATGGCATTCTTTTCGAGTCTTCCAAAATAGAACCTCTACGAAAAGAAGGGGATGTCTTTTCATTTTGCGAAGCATTCTCCGAACCAAACTTGTCAAAAAAGAAACAATATTCTCATATTCTTTGCGTGGTCTTGATTTCTGCTCCTCCAGGATATCGTTGAATATTGTGAGGAGTGATAACTGTAGAAGTTCAAGAAAATATTGTTAGATGCTTCTCTTTTATCCAAAACTATGCTTTCCAAATGGAAAGAATACAAAAACGCCGTCAGCCAAATACCTGGTATAGCATCGGAGATAGTTCCAAATCCTCACAAATTCGTCGAAGCATGGTTAATATGTAATGGTTAGTAGTGATTGAATTGCTCTTATAGGACTTCAGCAACCAACACAAATTCTGAATAATACTGTTGTTAGCAAGAGCAGAAACCAAAGAAGATACATTCAAGTCCACTTCATCTGCCAATACTGGCTGCTCGTCACCAGAAGAACTATCAGCTTCAAGATTAAGACCATCATTATCAATAATATTTCTGCCATCCATCTCTGATTCGTTGCTGCCCAGATCAACAGGCTTTTTTACAGGCTCACCAACAGGCATGGGATCGCTGATACTCACATCTTCCACTATGTCAGGATCCTTATTTGCTAATGTCTCCTTTTCTAACATAATGGGATCAACTGAGTCTTCACAAGTAGGGTTCTCAACCTCATTCTGAGGGGCACTATTATCTACACTTGGTTCATGAACATGTTCATTCTTGGTCATTGTCTTCTTCGTTCTTTTCTTCCTCGACTTTTTGGCAACCTTCGTTTCAAGAAAATAAAATAAATACTTTAATATAACTACCCATAATAATTCCATGAAGAATTATAAATACACAGAAAATCTTACGAATAAAAATAAATGGATATCAAATGTACCCGTAGCGTGCCACGTGCTTGAAGGTTCTCCAGTAGTCGTAGAACCACATGCATACTTTCAACCAAGTTGGCAAGATCACTTGAAACATCACAAATACAGAATTAAGAAAGTATCAAAATATAAACATAAATTATTGTTTATCTTAAAAATAGAAAAAAGAGAAATTAACAAAACCAATTTATCCCAATTTAATATCTGAATATGTATATCGTACATTTTAGGGGTACTTTTAATATGGTCAAGTAATTCTAAAAGTTATTGAAACAGAACCTTGCAAGGTATATAAGAATGAAACCTTTTAGACTGCTTATGAGTATCAAATGACTTTATTAGGTTTAAGAGAAACTGGGTCATCCCTTCCTCAGTTTGATCATAGAATAACTTTAATAGGAGGATGCGAGCAGTCTGGGGTTCCTTAGAATCTTCTGAGGCTTGCTTTAGCACCAAATCCAGCATACGTATCTTCACAAGACAGAATTATATGTCAGAAATGGCACTAGAAAGCATGCTTTCATGTGATAGTGGTCAGAAAAAATGTGGAACATAAATTCATTGAATGGTTTATAAGGCCATAGATGCACAACCAAGGGATGTATACAGATATTAAGAAGTAACTATGCTTTAGAGTGCGGTATCCGGCTATATGAAACTAAATATGGTTAAACTGAAGGTGTTAGAATATTTACCATAATTTTCACAAGTGATCCTGCAGCTGAAAGAAACTTGTAGTCGTTTGTTTGTTTTAATCCTTCAAATGCATACCGCCACTTTGAAATGACCATAAGAAACATTGACTCGTTCATAGTTTCGGCAATTGGTCCGCACATACTGCCTTTAAACAAGGAGTTTTCGTCATGAAAAGTTGCTGATGCCTCATTTTCAACATCAACACTAGGCTGTCAATGAATAGGGATGAAGACAAGGCCAAGAGATTACTTGTGAGACACTATGAAACAAGAGATGCATCAGTTAAACCACTTTATGAATGTTGGTATTATAACCTATCCTGAAATCTCTATGCCCACCCCCATCATATCCCCAAGTGTAAAATATATTAGGATGACATTCAGTGTTTGGGTTCTTAAAATATTCTCTCCTAGAGAGAGGTTATGTAATAAATCTTGGAAACTAAAAAATTCTTACTATTAGACAGAGTTCTGAGCTATCAGTAACTTTCAACAGTACTAACGGAAAGCAATTCGTGCCTTTCAAGTTTCACTTGATGTAACTTACCTTTTTAGTTGTGCACTTGTGATATTGAAATGCTGTGACAAATTGAGCAACTTCGAAGAATATGACAACATCACTGCTTTGAATTTCCTGAAGTTCTTTCTCAATATCTTCGCGGATTGACTGCATTAAAACTGACAGATACAAAATTCATAAGGTGACAAAAGAAATTTTGTTTCAGAGGATAAAAAGTATTACCATTGTATCCCGCCTTTAGAAACTGGCTAACAAAATCATCAAGTAATTGCAGGATTTCATGTTTTGTTGATGGTAGTTTCCCATGGTCCCAGACTGCTCTTTTTGATGGACCTCGGAGATTTTTGTGAGCTTTTAACAAAGCATCGGCAGAAGCGGAAGGATTTCCTTTTAAAAGTGCTTTAGAACCATCCTGTTGTAGATATAAAAAATCATAAGTTACTTAATCCCAAATATAAATTACTATAACATTAACGATAATCACATAAGTCATACCACTGAGACTCGGGTAAATGTTCCACTAAACTGTGAATAACAGCTGAGATTATGAAATCTTGTAAGATTTTTTTTCTCTTGTTCCTCTTTCATAATAGATTCAAGGCTGCTGACTGAGTTTCCAGCGACGACGGCTTCAACCTAATGAATAAATCTCCGTAAGAGGCAGTACAGGTGTCCTATGAACAATGTAACATGGAGGATCCAATGTGTGTGTGTGTAAATTACCAAAATTAATGATATACAACGAAAAGAAAAGGATTTCCAATTATCAAAACTATCATCCAGATGTATTTTATTACAACTCATTTTGGAAAAGGTGGTGACATATATAGCTCAGGAAACAAGAAACAAACCTCTAAGTTCTTCAAATTTTCCTTAGCAATCAACTCTGGCTCTTGACCCTTAAATATGTTGTGGAAAATTTCCAGTAAAAGCAAGTTATCATGACGTAAGTATCCATGAGAACCACCAGTGTGCTGCGACAATACTAATATCAGATCCATGACATTCTCCTCGAATAATAGTTCTAAAAACCTGTCTCTGATGGATAGGAACTGAGTGGCTGATCCTCCAGCTATCAGCTGAGTTGATATATCTTGGATAGCTAGAATGTTCCGAAATAATGTAAGAACTAGCTGGACCAATTTCCAGTCGTCTTCTGTGAAAGATTCACTGGTTATCATGAAGTAAATTGTCAGGTAGATGATTTTAGATTCGAGAATATAGTTATATAGAATTTAACTTGTGTGAACATCTTCAAAATAGAGTACTAGTCTGCCCTATTTTAGCATTGTGCCTCTATCAACCATTATCCTTCACCTTCACCCAATTCTTGTCGCTAGGAAACTTGCATATAAATTTTGAGAGTGGGATTTTTTTAAATGTTTCAGTTACCAGACATAAGCATTAAAATCTCAATTTCCATAAAAGAAGAATAAAAAAAATCATAATGAATATGCATCAACTAATATCCATTGATCATCCACAGACAAAAAAAAATGAAAATCGATCGTCGCTCCAAAACAAATAAAACACTCACTGTAAAATCAATCTCAGAAAATTACCTTTCGAGATTTTCTAGTGGACTTTCCAGAAGAGACACTATCACAGGAATAATATCACTGTAGGTAATTGCAGACTTCAATCCCCATAGAAACTCTATCTGCTGCGGTATATCAAATGATGTAGGCTCAACAGGCATGGTAAGAAACACCAACACCTTCACTGCAAAAAACACAAATGTTAAAACATAAAACGAATATGATATATAATGTCAAAAAATTGAACACGGTTCCGTAATTCTAAATCACTATTACCTGAATTCAACACTAAATTACGATCCTCTTGGCAGAACTCAATAATCGGTATCAAATCCTTTTTCACAGTATTCCATTTACAGGCTTGCTTGAACACTTCTCGTTTCTCCGGATCATCTCGCCTTAAATACCTCAATAAATCCTTCAAGTTATCTGCCAGGATAGTTTGAACGAAAAAAAGTATCAAATCGACTGAATAAGCAACGAAAAAACTCCTCGATTTACAAAATAAAAATGCGGTACCTAAACAATGTTCTCCCTTGGCATAACCGATGGGTTTGCCGTTGTCGTCTTCATCTACGATTCCGAGACCAGCGCAAATGCTGGATAATCCGTCCATATTGCTTGAATTAAACCTCAAATTTCACAAGATTGTATGTGGAAAATGTGAAGTTGACGGATGGGGATTTAGATCTGAGGGTTTCAGGTTCTAGGGCTTTTAGGTTGCGCTGTGCGAGAAGCAAACTTTCCCGCCTCTTCTAGACTCTGGCGGGATTGTGTTAGACAGTGGTAATTCGTAACTCGTTCCCGCGACTTTTTTTTTTTTTTTTTTTGATAAATAGGACCACGACTTACAGACTGCCCATTTTACGAAAAAATATTAATAATAAAATTATTATTAATAACTATGGCTATGTTTGGTAAGATGACGATAGGTGATTTTTCGACGAAAGTTAATTTTTTTTTTTAGTTTAATCCCCACTAATTTAATAAGAACTGCTAGGGGATGCTATCTATAAAAATAAGAGTAAATTAAAAAAAAAAAAAAAAAACTCTGAAATTAGGTTAAATAATGAGAACCACCCTCACGTATCAGTAATAACCAAAATTCTCGAGTTGTGTACAATCTATTATAATTTCTGTTAAATAGGTGAGAAAAAAAAAATCTGAAATTATGTAAATTCTATTCCCTGAAATAAAATAAAAAATTTGTGAAAAGTCACATTGTAAGGGGTTGGTGTAAGACGGAAACAAACTCAGGGGTTTTTTGGTAATTACGAATAGTTTGGGGCATTTTTCGTTATTTAGTCTAAGTTTAGGGGGTTTTCGTAATTTACCCTAAAAATAATGGATGGTTGTAATTACTCAAAAAAAAGGGGGGTGTTTCATAATTTGGCCTAACCTTAGGGGTTGTACGTAATTTTCTCTAGTTTTAAAAAAAAAAAAAAGCAAAGCCCTTCTGCCGAAAAAAATGAAAAAGCAAAGCCCTCCTCCTCAACCGTCGTGAACAAAGTTTGGTGAGCTAAAAATAAAAAGCCTCCATATTTTCGATACAAACAAGAAGGCAATAAGCTTACACAGCCAAATTTATCGTCGATTTCTCCAAACTCTCTCTCTCTCTCTCACTACACCAGCATCTATTCTCATTTGGCTTTCCATTTCTCTCTCTACTCATCTTCACCATTTCTGCTTCTCCCTCTCTGACAGATTTTCTCGGCGATGGCTCAAGTGGTGGCGGCGCGGCTGATTCATGGCGCATTTGCCGCGGTTCCCGGCTCGGGGTGTCAGGATAACCTTTCGGAGAAGCTCAGACCGAGTTCCGCCTTCAGCGTGAAGGTTTCGACCCAAACCGAGAAGAAGATCCGCGGCGGAGCTGCCCAGGTCAGCGCGCCGATCACCGCGAGTAGATCTACTCGCTCTGAGCCGCAAGTGAGTCTGTTTGTGTGTTCGTTAATTCTATTTTTATTTTTTTAGAATGGTAATAACTGTACATACATTTGACACCATTTATCACCCGTTCAAACCAGGACGAAGTAATTGATTGAAAAATCATTGAGCAAACAAGTAAAATTATACATTCTTATTTATAAGATTTACACACTCTTACTAATTATACAGCACCACCATTGCTTCTTCTCTGTTGACCAGACAGAAGAGCGAACACAATATTTACCGGCCGTGCCACAACAAGGCGATTCATCGGTTGGCGTGTGGTCTAAGCCTACAGCGAGACGAAAGACGAAGATCGTTTGCACCATTGGTCCATCAACCGACACAAAGGAAATGATATGGAAGATGGCAGAGGCTGGGATGAACGTTGCTCGTCTCAATATGTCCCATGGAGATCATAAATCTCACCAGAAAGTCATCGATTTGGTTAAGGAGTATAATGCTCAATCGAAAGACAATGTTATCGCAATCATGCTTGATACCAAGGCAAGTCTGCTTATTTTGATTCGTGCATCAATTGTTCGTTTCATGTGATCC